AGAAGAGGAAAGAGGAGCTTCTAATGGTGGGAAACTGATGAAAACAAAAACGCAAGTGGGAGTTCACGAATCTGAAAGTTCGGAAGATGGGGAAAATGAGTCAGATACCAGTAATGCGGAAGATGAGAGTGCTAGCGAGTCAGAGGAATCAACGCACGCTGACAGTGAAGCTGGAGAGGAGGATGAGAAGGTGAGGACTATCAAAAGATCAGTTGTTTTAGAGAGTGAAAATGAAGCTGAAGTTGATGGAACGGAGACTGAGAGTGAGGATGGAACAGATAGTCCTGAAAATGAGATTGAGGATAGTGATGAAGAGGGCGAAAGTGAAACACAAGGTAGTTCAGAGAAGACAGGAAGTGAGATTGAAGGCAACGTGGATGGAACAACAGCTGATGCTAAAGTTAGAAAGGAAGGAGTGGAAAATGAGAGTGCGGATCAGATGGAAGGATTGGAAAATGAGATTGAGATGGAAGTTGAAGGAACTGAGAATAAGGAGGTGGGTGTAATGGTTTCTAAAAGTGGAAATGGCACTGCGATACTAGGGGATGATAGTGATTCTGCTGATAATGTTAAGACAAAAAAAGGAGATACTTTACAACCTGAACTACTACAGAAACCTAGCATCGAGGTTAATGAGAGTTTGAAGCAGAATGATGACATCGGAGAGCGAGGTGTTTCTGGAGCACCATCTACTGATAAGACCAAAGAACATAGTGAATTTCAGGATAGAGGGGGTGAAAGTGTGGAAATGCTTGACGAGTTGCCTATTCAGAATGAAACTTGCAACAAGGTTGTTGACTCAGTTTGCAATTCATCGGATAGGCTCGGTAAGCCTCTCTTTAAACAAGCCAGGCGCTGTGGTTTATGTGGAGTTGGTACTGATGGCAAACACCCGAAGAAGTTGATACAAGATATTGGTGACAGTGACATAGACGCACATAGCGGGTCTTCGTCTTCAGAGGAGCCAAACTATGACATATTGGATGGTTTTGGCGATGATCCTGGATGGCTTGGCCGTCTATTGGGCCCTATAAACGATCGTTATGGAATTTCTGGAACGTGGGTTCATCAGCATTGTGCCGTATGGAGTCCCGAGGTAATGTGTGCTTACATTATATGTGACAGTACTAGTGTTTATTTCTCTTTTCAATTTTGTGTTCGCTTAATCTTTAGTTGTTCTGTAATGTCTTCTTTGGTTGTCATTCTTGTAAATATTGGTATATCTCTGACTTTGTGGTCGAACTCTGACACTGTGTATTTTTCAATGCTGTTCTTGATGAAAACTTAAGACAACAGTTAATGAGCAGAATATACAAAAAACCTGACAATTTTCTTGATGTTTTAGTATCCTGTATTCCTTGATCTAAGCATACAAAGGTCTCTACATTGTGTTTTGTTTTATATTGTAACTATGCTCTTCCTGTCTTATTGATTTTATTTAGCTAAATTATGTTTTCTGTAGACGTTAATGTTCGATACTCTTGTACTGCAGGTTTACTTTGCTGGTGTAGGATGCTTAAAAAATATAAGGGCGGCACTTTGCAGAGGGAAGTCATTAAAATGCACTCGCTGTGCAAGACCTGGGGCAACCATCGGTTGTCGTGTTGATCGATGTCCAAGAACCTATCATTTGGTCTATTACTACTCCCTCGCTGGTTTTTCTTCCTCGCCTCTGAGATATAGGCTAATAAAATTGCATGTGTAACTGTTACCATATCAAGCTCTGATAACTTATTTGTGGTGTTCTGTATTTTGCAGCCTTGTGCACGAGCTAACGGTTGCATCTTTGATCACCGTAAATTTCTGATTGCTTGCACAGACCATAGATATCATTTCCAACCCCATGGTCGTCAGTGTCAAGTCAGAATGAAGAAGATGAAAGCCAAGAGGATGCGATTGGAGATGAGGAAGCACTCAAATGATGCCTGGCGTAAGGATGTGGAAGCAGAAGAAAAGTGGTTTGAGAAATGTGGTGAAGATGACGAATTTTTAAAACGTGAAAGCAAGAGACTACATCGAGATCTAGAAAGAGTTGCTCCCGAGTATATCGGAGGCTCTGATTCTGAGAGTGGAAAGGCATTTGAGGGATGGGACTCTGTTGCTGGGCTTGAGGGTGTAACTCAATGTATGAAAGAGGTTGTTCTTCTACCCTTACTATATCCAGAATTCTTTGATAACCTTGGACTCACACCTCCAAGAGGTATCCTCTTGCATGGACATCCTGGAACTGGAAAAACGCTTGTGGTTCGAGCGCTGATTGGTTCCCTTGCTCGTGGAAATAGACGGATTGCATACTTTGCCCGGAAAGGGGCAGACTGTCTGGGAAAATACGTTGGTGATGCTGAGCGCCAGTTGAGGCTCTTATTTCAGGTCGCTGAAAAATGCCAACCATCTATCATATTTTTTGATGAAATAGATGGTCTCGCTCCTAAGCGGTCAAGGCAGCAAGATCAAACACACAGCTCCGTTGTATCCACTTTGCTCGCTTTACTAGACGGCTTAAAGTCGCGTGGCTCAGTGGTGGTCATAGGTGCAACAAACTACCCTGATGCTATTGACCCAGCATTAAGAAGGCCAGGGAGGTTTGATAGAGAGATCTATTTTCCCCTACCATCACTCGACGATAGGGCTGCAATCATCTCACTCCATACTAGGAAGTGGCCTAAGCCGGTGTCTGGATACTTGCTCAAGTGGATTGCTAAAGAAACTGCCGGTTTTGCTGGTGCGGATATACAAGCTCTCTGCACACAAGCTGCCATGATTGCCTTGAATAGGAGTTTTCCTTTGCAAGAATCTTTGGCTGCTGCAGAGTTGGGGATTTCTAGTAGTAATCGTGTTGCTCTTCCGTTTTTCTCAGTTGAAGAAAGAGATTGGTTGGAAGCTTTATCCCGCTCCCCACCCCCATGCTCACGTAGAGGAGCAGGAAAAGCAGCTAGCGATATATTCTCTTCTCCTCTTCCAATTTACTTGGTGCCTTCTTTATTTCCGCCACTGTGTTCTTTACTTGTTGCTTTTCATCTTGAAGAGCGCATCGTGCTACCACCTCTTCTTTCCAAAGCTGCAGTTGATTTCGAAAATGTGATCCGTTCTGCTTTGAGCAACAAGAAGATAACTAAGGGTTACTGGTGGTCTCATGTTGAGAGCCTTCTCCAGGAGGTAGATGTTGTAAAGGATATAGTTCAGAGACTTTCTAATGCTGGGATACTGGATGGAGGATGTGACTCAGTTAGATCTGTTTCAAGCACCCCTGGTGCTGGCGACTGCAGTTTGGGTTCTGCACAATTCATGGTACACAGAGTCTACCGAAATCCTGGGCTTTTGGGGAATACTCACTTAGAATCAATGAGCAAATCAGGGTTCCAACTGCTTATTGCTGGAGGACCTAAATCTGGTCAACGACATCTTGCTTCTTGTATCTTGCATTGTTTTATTGGCAATGCAGAGATGCAGAAGATAGACACGGCAACAATTTCACAAGAAGGAAATGGGGATCTGGTGCTAGGCGTAACTCACTTATTAAGTAAGTCTTTCTTTATTCAACTTTTCATGCTGTTACTTCCCTGATGATGATATTTTCGCAGCTACATACATTTTTTTCTTGTACTCTTTCATCATCTGCAGCTTTTTCATTTGCTTGGTTCTAGTCCATTTCCAGAGTACTAATTGTTATATCCACCCGGCTTGTAGTTAAATGTGCTAGCAGGAAATCATGTGTGGTATTCATGCCAAGGATTGATTTGTGGGCTGTAGAGACAGAGTCTCCACTGAGCGAGGAGGTCGAGTGTGATGATGATTCTGCAAAAGAAAATTCTTCTTCTCCTATTTGCCCAGAAACGGTAGAGAAAATGGAGTTGCAGAATTCTGTTCGAGTTTCACATGCTTGGAACACATTTTTTGAGCAAGTAGAGTCATTGCGAGTTTCCACAAAGTTGATAATTCTGGTATGCTTACCTTTTTACTTCCTTAATGTCTTTTCTCCAATATATTTTCCTTGTTTCGGCAGTTGATAATGGGCTGTCTCGTCTTCATTCTTATTCAATTAATATCGGTTAGTTTTTTTTTCTTTTTTTTTTAAAGGGTAGTGTAAGCCTTAGTGTTTGTGTATCCTTTGTTGATTAGTAGTCTCTGAGAAGACTGTCAACACTTGAGGCTAAAAAATTGTTTTTATTTATTTATTTATTGGTGATAGGCTACTTCTGGCATGCCTTACAAATTACTGCCTCCTAAGATACAACAGTTCTTTAAGACCGACTTATCAAAGGAGTATCAACCAACTATGTCTGAGGCTGTTCCACAATTCACTATACAAGTTGTTGAAAATTCTGACCAGGACATGGCCATTGACCTGTCTGCTACTGAGCTGTCAAAGCGGGCAATCCAAGTATTTCTTCATTTGGTGCATCAGGAAACCCATACTCACTATGACTTACAGAAAAAATACAAAAGAGAGGATCCTGACCAGGGTTGCAGAGATGTAGATTATCAGAATAATACTGATCGAGGCGCAGGGGAAGAAGCAGGTGTTAAATCAAAACCTCTTGATGATGGTTCTGTAAAAGTTCCACCATTACCTACCAGCATAAATGTGAAAGCGAAATCAAGCCTGCAGTTAGCTGTCTCTACATTTGGTTATCAAATTCTACGGTATCCTCAATTTGCCGAGCTTTGTTGGGTGACATCAAAGCTTAAGGAAGGGCCAAGTGCTGATGTCTCAGGTCCTTGGAGAGGTTGGCCATTTAATTCGTGTATCATTTGTCCTTGTAATTCATCAGATCAGACAGTTACTGCTCCCGGTTCTAACAATGTTAAAGGCAAAGATTCATCTGGCATTGTCAGAGGCCTCATTGCTGTTGGATTATCAGCGTATAGAGGAACCTATATATCACTGAGGGAAGTCTCCTTTGAGGTACGGAAAGTTCTCGAGCTCTTAGTTGGGCGGATCAATGTGAAAATCGATGCTGGAAAGGACAGATGTCGATATATCCGAATTTTGTCTCAAGTTGCTTATCTGGAAGACCTGGTTAATAGTTGGGTATATGCGATGCGAAGGTACGCCGTTAAACATTTTGTTTTATGTATGTTTGTTCTAAAACTTGCTCCGTATCTAACACAACTTCATTGTTTACAGTTTTGAGTTGAATGCTCAAACAGAGTCAACGAATCCATTGTCTTATTTAGTCAATCCATCAGTGAGGAATGAGCCAACTGAGCAAGGAATATCTGATCGACCAAAAGGGTCAGAAGAAGACCCGAAAGAAGATACCCAAAACATGGATTGTCCAGACCCTATAGCAGCCGACAATCATCATCCAGTTGTAGAGATTACAAATGGTCATACTGAAACAAATCATGAACCTCTTGAAGATACTGGACCTCTTACAACCCATAGTATGGATGGCTTAACTTTGATCAAAGGGAATGGTGATGATACTTCCAATTCTGCAATGATAATAGACGATTTAGGCGTAAGTTCAGTTCGGCAGGCTGTTCTGCTTGATCTTAACTCCCCTGCAGCTGACCATGAACAGAGTGAGACCCACCATGGATCATGCGAGGTAGGAACTACAGCAACGGCCACTGCTTTGAAAGGAGAAGCTAATTCCCAAAACAATTCTATTGGATCTGGGGAATCCAATTCTATCTCCCTGAAAGATCCCCATAAATCAGCTGACTCAAGTAATGGTGAAGCCTGGGACGGCGTCCATGGCTTAGAATCTGCAAATAGCATGCCTGAATCAATTAAACAAGTTGATACAACTGCAAGCACCAATCCTCTGGATGACCCTAGTTTTGTGTGTTTGTACCGTTGCTGCTCCCAGTGTGTCTCCATCCTCCAAGAGTCAATGCATAAACTAGTTACTCGGGAATTGAGACTTGGTGGGAGTTGCATCACAACAGAAGGAATACATGATGCAGTGTCTTCATTATCAGTGGAGCTTATTGCTGCTGTTAGAAAGTTCATCTCTGCGAAAAACAATGGCACTATGCAGGAAGCAGAGGTTGAAGAACGTGATGAATGCTCAGAAAAAGAAGCATGTTCTTGTAAAAGCTTACCTGGTAATTTCCTTGCCTCGGTTGAATGTTGCGGTCATTCTGCTGAAGAGCATCGGAGCTTAGAAGAAGCAAATACATATCCAAGCCCTAAGACTTGGCTTGAGCCATTATTCGTTTTCAAAGATGGAATATTGGTTCCAGTAAGTAGTGAAGATGATCGCGCTTTGCACTGTAAATACGATAGTTTCTGCCTTGGCTCTCTCATAGAGTTGATTGCAACTGAGATGAAGCCTTTTTGATTGATTGATCTTTTTATCTTTTATTTACTCATATCAACTTGGTGTCTCTGCCATTGATTGCCATTGACCCTAAACTCAAATCTTGTTTCTCCTAGATTTGATTTACTGCGATGTGATTCCCTTAACTTCCCTAAGGCATTCTTTTCTCGCAGCAAAATGATGAGATACGCAGCTAATTTCACTCTCTATCCATCAGCATTAGCCACATGTGACCCAATAAAGATTACGGCTAATTATCATAATAAATGTTAATTTCCATACGTAATGTAAAACTATAAGGTTCAGCGCTCGAGACTTCTTGCTTTTTCATTACTTTTTTTTTAAATCATCAAACACTTTGTATTTATTAGGTTACTATAATTCTTAGCTGTCGCGTAGGAGGCGATGGAGAACAAAGAATATATAATAAACTGAATTCTTTTAGATTATATAAACTTTCAATTTGTTACATATTAGTTTATGAATCACATGGCATGTTGACTGGCATGACAGGGATGAGGGATTATTATGCCGTTTCTTAGCAATCATACCTTTGTTGAAACCCTTATTTTTCTTAGTTGTTGCCAGAAATCCCTTCAATTTATTATATAATTTTATCTTAATTATCCACTTATATACTTAATTATTATTTTTTCTTTTCCAAAACTTTTTTTGGTTTATCAAATTGTCAAATAATGGAGTTTTAGTTTCTGCAACGTCCTATATGAAAATTTAATGCGATTTTTTCAATAAAATTAAAGATAATGGATTCTTTTTTTTTCTTGGAAGTTATATATACTGACTCCAAAATCAGAATAATTGGAAAATGAAAGAATCTTATGTATTCGGAATAAGTCTCTCTATTTAATTCCATTTTTGTTTTTGTTTTCACTCAATTTTCTCTGTGTTTCTATTTCTATGTAATAAAACAAAAAAAAATTGAATCCACATAAAACATTAAAAATAATATTGAAAACAAAAAATAAGTTCTGAATGGTTGCCCACATGGGCACCTCCTAATAAGTCTCCAGAATCTATGCTTCAAATACAAACCGAACAAAAGAAGAAGAAGAAAGACAGAACAAAAATACTTATCTCTTTTTGTTATCTCTTGTCTGAATTAAAAAAAAAAAAAAAAGAAATGGATCCTACTTCGAATGATCATCAAGAATTGGAACAGGTCGAAGCCATCGATGATCTTCTCGAAGATTTCTGGTTCTTTGATAACTTACTTGACAGAAGATCAAGAATCTTGAGGTACTGTCATTCAGATCCTTACCCTTTTTCTCCTTTTTCTTCTTCCCCTTCTACTTATCCGAAACCCGAATTCCCAAAAATTGGAGATTTGGATTCGGAGAAGAAGCTTCTAGAAGCTCCCACAGGGGCAGACTCCGTTGCACCGCCGTGTACAGAGACAAAAGAAGGTAGAGGCGAGCCTGAGAAGATAAACAAGATGAGAAGGCAGTTCTCTGAGAAGATTAGGGTTCAAGAACGAAGAACTTACTTGCAGAAGAAGGAACCTGTGGTTCGAGAGAAGGAAATTAAAGAAGGTTCTAGAAAGAACAGAACTGGTAGTAGTTGTAATAACAACAGTGTCCAGTGTTGCCCGATGGGAGTGAGTTTGCAGAGAACTCAGACATTACCCAGTTACATAGGAAGAGAAGATGATGGAAATGAGTTTCGAGATCAAGAGAGCGACGATTCAAGAATGGGATTCTTAATTCGTGAAGCCATCGCAAGCTCTTCTTCTGGTTTTACTCCGACGAAACAGAGTACACCAAAGGTGATCTCTTCTTTTCATTATATACTTTCTATTTTTGGATGATTTGATTAAATCTTTCCTGTTGTGGAGAATCTGAATGTTGATCAGAAAGTTTCAAACTTTTTTTTTGCAGATTTCAAGCATTCCAAGGCATAGACCACCGAGGAACTCGAGATCAGAGGAAGCTATTCAAGAAATGGTCGCCAAGTCACAAAGAATTCCAAACCGGAAAACGCTTCGAAAGACATTAAGCAGCATCGACACGAAAGAGATTCTGGTGATGAAAGAATTGGACATTGATTCGGAGAAGAAACAAGAAAAAGAAGACGAAGAACAGAGGAGGGTCCCACGCGCCGCCGTGAAAAGCCGGTCTGCAGCGGTGGTGGGACCGTCAAACCCAATTCCGGTTTGGGTTCGCAAAGATTCGAGAAGAGACATGAAAGCGCAAATCAAGTTCTGGGCTCGAACCGTCGCAAGTAATGTTCGGCAAGAATGCTGAAAATCATTCCTTTTCGTTAACACAACAAATGATTTCTATAAATTTAACACTCATTTCCATATTCTTTCGTTCCTTTTCTGTTCAAAAATATTCATCTATTATTTTACCAAAAATAAGAAGAAGAAAAACATAATTATGGGTTTTGTGAATTGACGGCGAAAGCGAACTTGGAGTATTAATAATTTGATGGAAGAAGAATGCACTCGCAGTGGATAAAAAACAATAAATTGAATTTAATAGTCACACTTCCCAAAAAAACATATATAATTTGACTCAATTTGCTATAAAGATTATTCAGATAGAGTGAACCCTCTAAACCAGACAGAAGCTTCGACAAAGGATATTTGAAGACGTTAATGGTGAGAAAAAAAATCTTCGACGGCTAAGAAAAATGCTAGTGTTGCAGAGCCACCAATGTCTCTTTTCCTCCTCCACTTCCGCCTTCTCTCTACCTCACCGTCGCCGGAAAACACGTCTCATCTCTCTCTACCGGCCACCGGATTCTATCTCTCCAATCCCTTCGCTATCCGCTTTTACCCGGATCCGACCCGATAGATTCCGGGTATCCGCCTTAAAAGAAATCGCCGATGTAGCGGACGGTGAAGAAGATGGTCCCATTGAGCTTCCTCCTTCGTCTACATCTCCGTTTTCGTCTACAAACTCCATTTTCGCCACTTCCGATGAGCCTTCTCCTCTCCAGTTGGCCACCAGCGTAATGCTAACCGGTGCCATCACTATCTTCCTTTTCCGATCGATTCGACGGCGAGCTAAGCGCTCTAAAGAGCTGGTAAAATTTTCAATTCTACTCTCGTTAAAACCCTAGACATGCTTAAGATAGCACCGAGGAAGAAACAATCTCTGCGATTTCGTGACTATAATCCAAAATAGAGAGAAATGTCTGATTGGGTGTGAAATTGTAGACATTCAGATCATCTGGAGCAAAGAAGAAATCGTTGAAAGAAGAGGCAATGGAGAGTCTCAAAGCAATAAGCTCAACTCCCATTGAAGACGGTAAGTCAACTCCATCGGCGGCTCAGGCGTTTCTCGGTGCGATTTCAGCTGGAGTCATTGCTCTCATTCTTTACAAGTTCACTCTCACCATTGAATCGTCGCTCAATCGCCAGACCATTTCTGATAACTTCTCGGTTCGTTTTCTTCTTCTCTCTTTCTTTTAATCCTTTTGATCATTTGTTGCTTGTGTCAGTCTATCTTTGCTTTGGGTGTTGGGTTTAGTTAGGGCAAGTAACATTTACCTTCTGTCCCAAGTATCATCATGGTCTTAATATCTGTAAATGCCCCCCATAACTGAGAGATAAAGAGAGTGATGGATAAGCTTTTCCCCCATTTTGAATTCAATGTGCAACTAGCTATATTCATTATGCCAAGGACCTATTCTAGTCGATACATGAATCTCTGTTTTGATCATTGCTTGTCTACTAGAGGATTCTATAATTCTATATGCGGACTAGCTATACATTCATTGAGTGAAAGAACTATAATTTGTTGAAACCCTAATCTTTCTCTAAAAAGCATCATCTGTGTCTTCTATCTCTTGCAGGTTAGGCAAATCACAGTAACCGTAAGGTATATATATATAAGCTTTACCACCTTCTCTGTATGCATCTCAAATTATTCTCGCAATGGCTTATACGGACTTAACTGTTTTTTTTTTTTGCAGGACTATTATCAACGGTATATGCTATCTAGCAACATTTGTTTTCGGTATCAACGCGATCGGACTTCTCCTTTACTCTGGCCAACTAGCTTTTAATGAAGAGTCTGATGACATGAAGGCCACAACAGAGCCTGGAGACTCATCAGGTAACGACTCTGAAGTAAATAAAAGCAATGAGGATCAAAGTTCAGGTGATTAGTCTGGTCTTAGTATTTGTATTTTGTACTTTGAAAACATGTAATGATAATATATCTACATTCACAATAGCAAATATATATTCAAATTATTTTTTCATTTGGATTTATTGTAACTATGTATCTGTTTGTTGGCAAGTGATTAATTGTTAGTTTCGATGGGACTTTATCAACCAGAGAGACAGACATTAGACTAATGGACAAAAGAAGGATACAGATTTTCATGGAAACAACATTGGCATTTGCGAATGAAAATGAATTATGACTAACAAAACTAATTTACAAACAAGGACAAATAGTATTTCTGAAATTACTATTACACCCAAATACTAATTGTTTATTCCAACTCAAGTCTCCTCCTTTCATCTAGAACCCTACTCCGGCGCCGCCGACTCCGACGGTAGCTGGAGGATGCGGCTCCAGCTTCCGATTTTTCCAGAAACAAGCTTCCGGCGCAAGCTTCGAAGCTGACTTCCTAGGCTCCGATTTGCAACGTGGCAGCACTGGTGGCTCGTACACCTTATTAGCTCCGGCTACCTTCTGCTCCCCAACCCCCACAGCCGCCGTAATTATCGGCGGAGCTGCTGGATATGAGCACGATGACCGTGGCGGCTGTAACATCGCATGGTGAACCGGTGGTTTATCGATTGAACGCCGGCGAGAAGAAGCGGTGGAATCAACTGCGACGACGGTTCGCTTCTTAGGTTGATGATTATGATCTCCGGCAGTTTCCGGTATCTTCTTCGCCGGAGGTCTTCCCGGTAAACATCTGACGAAATCTGTACTGCAGACCCAAGTCTCCTTTGAGACTTCCATTGATAGCTTCGGTTCACACATCATTAGTAATAGACAATCCGGTAACACTTTATACGGCGTCGTCTTCTCCTTCTCCGTTGTTGTTTCCTCCAGCTGACTTCCTCTCGTTATCACTTCCGGACTCGGGTCGGGTTCTCGGTTTCCTTGTTCGGATCTTTCTACGTTTGGCGTTACAGAGGCAATCTCTCTGCTTTCTTCTTGTTCTTCTTCTTCTGCTTTAGCCGCCGCCGATAATTCTTCCATCTCAGCCATATGCTCCTCTTCCTCTATGGCGTTTCTGATATCGTTTTCGATGCTTTTTATGAACGTCGCTTCAATTTCTTCATCAAACGAATCAACCTCCTGGATTTTCGAAGCTTCTTCTTCTTCTGCTTGTACAGTCGAATCTTCGAGAACTTGGACTGTTTCTTCCTCTTTCGCTGGATTTGAAGCTAAAGAAACTTGTGCTTCTGCAACTGGAGCTGGAGCTGGAGCTACGACTTGTTCCTCCACTGTTGTCTCGCCGGAAATCCATTTCTCGCACAACTCGATCCGTTTCTTGTCTTCCAAATCAAGCTCAAACCGTCTTCTTCTCTCTTCGTCATCCTCCTCATCTCCTCCTTGCGCGACATCGTTAAGTGACAACTGCCTCTCTCGAACCCGGTTCGCTAGCGCCGCCACCTTAACCGGATCAGATCTACACCGCATCAACAGTAAAGCGTTTTTCGGCGGAGAGCAGATGCTGATCCGTCCAACTTCTTCCCTCTCTTTCTTCTCCTCCGTCTTCATCTCAATCTCGCTCAAATCAAGCCCCTCGAACACGTGTCTCCGGCGACTCCTCCTATCCTCCTCCGCGTCGTCTTCTCCACCCACCACGAGCTCAATCTCTCTCCTCCTCCCTCCCGTCTCCTCCACCGCCACAAACCACCGCGTGAACACAGCGCCGCACGAGTTTCCTCCGCCGCCGCATCCGTCGCCGTTACCCTCGACTCGCCTCCCATCTCGATCTCTGTCGTGATGGCTACTATCGGTGCACGAGGATCTACAGGGGAAGAAGCAGTTGAGCTCGGAGCCGAACGCTCTCAAGGACTCGCAGATAGTCACCGGAAGATGCACCCAACGGTTTTCAGTCGCGTCGAAACGGCAACCTCCTCCGTCGTTTTGGTCGCTTGAGGATCTCCTGAAACTCGTCTCACCTTTCCGTCTAGATCTCGCTCTCATCTTCTTCTTCACATGCTTCCTAGTCTTCACTCTAACCTGTCCGATACACGTCACCTTCGGAGACGAAGGCTCGATGTTGTTGTTGTTGTTGTTGTCGTAGCCAGATCCAGATCTCTTCCGACCATTGGCGCCGAACATCGGAGAGTTGAGAACTCCGGCGGCGGAAGCGTTCTTTAAGCTGCCGCTGGTGCGGAGACGACGGCTGAGAGAAGTGGTGAGACAGGCGGAGCGAGCGGGGCTGAGGGAAGAGAGACGCATGGAGGAAGAAGAAGAGAAACGAGATGTGAAGCAAATGAATAGATCCGTAGAAGAAGAAGCATTCGCTGTGTTGCTGCTGTTAATACTTGAAGATCGGTGGGGTCTCTCAGTTTCCGCCATTGTTATCTTCTCTGTTTTTTCTTTTTTTCTCTGTTTTCTTTTTTTACTGAGAGAGTGAAGTAACCATCGCCATTGGAGATAGTATAGTATAGTAGTATCTGTTTCAGACTTCAGAGTGTAACGGAATCGAGAGACTTGTGGGGGTCCGTTCAAAATTACCAAAGTACCCCTCGATCTGGTTATAGGGGAAAGATTCGTTCTTCCTAAATCTCAATAATCGGCTTTGACTTATCCAAACATTAGCTCTTGTGTGTATATGAATTCTGTGGTAATGGTTCCTGATGAAAGGGGTAAATTAGTAAATTTGAGGAGAGTGAAAGATGTGTGGCCCATGAGAGTGAAATAATGAGTTAAAAGGGTTCGTACGTCTGTGGAGGGTGTGGATACACACATGTGCACACTAAAGGTATTGGCTTTCCCGAAAACACAAACACTCAGACACGCATGTCTCTTGTGTATTTGCATGTATTGTTTTCCTAATCTTTCTCTTTTGCGCTTTTGGATTTTGGTGAAAAAATAATGCTACTAGTATAATACAAAGTTTTAATTTTTCAAAAGATATGACTTTTTGTGATTTTCAAAAGTTTTAGGATATTTTTCTCTTCTTGTAACTAGACTATTAATTGGACCCCGTGGACCAAGTGTTTCTTAAAACCTCACCAAAATTTGCTGTTGGGTATTTTGGAAGATATATGTATGTCATAATATGTGGAATGGATCTTTTCGATGGTAATTTATAACAGGTGCATTTTGGAAAGATTGTGAATAATCTGTATGAATATAACATGAAAATAAAAACAGTGAACCACAGCCACCATTTGGCTGCAAATTGTAATGTGTATTTATCTAGTATAGTAAATATATATGAAGATAGCATTTTTTGTTATCTAGTGTTTGTGGATTTTATCAAAATGATTCTCTTTCAACCCTCTTATGAATATATACAGTTGTGGAAACAATAAAATAATTTTCAATAATTCTGATGATTTGCATATTGATTTGTGGATGGTATGTTGTTGATTGATACGGGTCGTTAAGGATATTAAAATGGATCTTTGCGAGAATATATATAGTACTTGGTATATCCTGTTTTTCATCAGCATGTACGTATGTTCTTGGCAGTGCCGTTTTGATCAAATATGAGACCCTGTGCTATTAATTTACAATAGACCTTATAATATATAGTTTTTCAAAATATTTATATGCTAACTAATAAAAACATTTACTATATATAGGAGTGAAAAGTGAGTAAACAATCATTAAATAATTTTTATAAATAATGATTATTATTTAATATTAAACACTTCGATCATCAAAAATATATGAAAAAAATCTATAAAAAAATCAAATATATATGTTATAAATCACTTAAAAACAATGAGAATAAAATTAATTATGACAAAAAAAGCTTTTTAAAAACCTTATATTATGTTGACACTTGATATTATATGTTGTTTTTAAAATTTGTTTGTATTTTTCTATAAGTTTTTTTAAAAAACAAATATTTTAAAAACTATAATAAGCTTCAAGTCATATTGAGCTCAGTGTTGTATCACAGGTCACACTTGCTATGTGCCATGTGCCGGCCCTGGTTCTTGGATATATGATTGAGATTTACTCATCTTCATCTACCAAAACATTTGGGATTACAAAGCGGAAAATAACCAAAACACAAAGAAGAAGGTGGAGAGAGTGAAAATAAAATTTGTTTTTCTTATTCAATCTTTCTAAAATATCAATTAAGGGGCCATCGTCTTAGATTTTTCTTTTTTCATAATGATAAAAACAAAGACCGAAAATCCTAGTCACATGGTTTGGGCGAAATGCGGTCGAAGACAAATAATAGCACAGATACTGTATAATAATATTAATAATTGATTAAAGAAGAAAAACCTTATTGTATAACATAATAAAAGCATTATAGAAGCGAAAGTTTGCACGTGATCGGACTACCGAGAGATAGGGTAATGAGTCGATAATATGGCCGTTGTTTTTCTTATTTTAGTTATGATCATTACATTTTTTATATATTTAATCTAATTTTATAATGCAACTTTTTGAGTTTTCTTCTCGTGAAGTTGTCACTTAACTTACTTTCTTGTGGATGCATGAAAGTATGAAACTAAGGGCACGTCGTGTCGCTTTTTGTAGCACTTAAGGAGCCGGACCCACTCTCCTCTTTACCATTATGTTACTGGAGTATATGGTCATATAATTAGACACAAATTATACTCCTAGATAATTCAGTTTATAAAGCAAGAGATTATCAAATAGTTAAAAATCAACAAAAAGGAAGTTCAGGGAGTTCTCTGTGTCCCGAAGAGCGTATTTAAGGCGAATAAGCAGCTCGTGAAGACTTCACCGATTGAAAAACCAGAGATCTTATAAAAAGACAGGTTTTAGAGTAGCTCTTTCCAAATAGGTCATATGTTTCTATACTACTCAGCAAAAAATAATTTTCGTTTGATCAATAGATACAAAATCAAACTAAAATTCAAAAGAGATTCTCAAATTTAAAACTCTTTGAAGTATTTGTTAATTCATATAGAGAATACATACGTGTTTTCACTTATTATTCAATCCAAAAATAAACAATCGATCAAATATCTCTTAATCCAAAAAAACTTGTAAGCATAAGAAGCGGATTTCCATGTACAAATTGAATATGAATTTAATCTCTTTTTTCTTTGACACATTAATCATTCTCTTTTTATTTTATTTTCATCAATCAATTTATCCATTTGTACATATAAAGATGGATGAACATCAAAGTTACGATAAGATCACGACGAAGAGAAGGGCGTGAAAAAACACGCGCGTGAACTATGTGTAATGAACCGCGAAGTAACGGTCTTAATAAACAGAAAAAAATGAAGGAAGATGGGTGGGTGATGTGGCAGTCATATTACAGAAAGAGAGAGAAGAAAGGAGTTTGACCAGACCATTAAAAGACTAAAGGACCACACTATAGGTCATTGCATAGCCTTAACATGATCTTGATAACACTTCTTCTACTTTTAATTAATTTATTTATCAACTAGACTAATACAGAATTTTTTGTGACAAAAACAGAAAAAATGTATTTCTTAACCATATATAGTAGATACTAAATGCATACTCCCTTCGGTTATTTTTTTATTGTTAGTTATAAAGACAAATTTGAATGATTTGAAGAAATTATATTATACAAAACAAATAATAATTCTATGACTAGTATAAAAATGTAACAAAACAATAACATTGTTGTATACAATAATTGCCAAATCGATTTTATAGAGATGGAAGGTATCAAAGTGATTTTATGGCAATAAATATGATGACATAAAAACATGTGCTCATTGGTCCCCAAGATAATGAGTATGTAGAGTAGTAGAATGTAGGGATAATCTTTACTAGATATTTAGAAGAAGTTACAGAACTGAACAAGGTTTGGATTTCGAAGACTTTTTTCTTTTGCAGCAAGCAATAACATTTTACCAGACACAAAAAAGTTTCCAAAGACCTGGAAGGAAAGAGAATGTTTCGGTCTCACTGATGACGTCAGCCAGAGTTTACTCGTTGAGAAGAACACGCGCATAGTAGCGCGTAAGAAAAACTTCGTTGTTTGCTGATCTGGCAAAGGAGAGAAGAGTTTGACTAGAGACCATTAAAGGACGAGAACCAGACAAAACATACATTTAATAACCTGATTAACTCTGCCATGTTATGCTTTTAATGGCATTTCCAGACATTTTTTAATCCAATTAACTACTAGGAGGGTCTTTAAGCCTTATTTTAACCATGTACTAAAAAAAATAGAGATCATTGCTTATGCTGAGTTTGGATTTTGATTTTGTGAGATTTGTTCTATCATGTGATCAACTTTGGCTTCGAGTCACACATTTATGTATCTCTTATTTAAATTAAGATTACATCTACGTTGTCTCATGGATTACACCTTCAGTGTATGTCTTATTTAAATTGAAATCACATCTACGTTATCTCATGGTTCAGTAGTTTACACCTTTAGATCCGGGGTTCAAATCTCATAGTAAAGTAATAGTTTCAAGATTTTCTACAACTCCCATGTTTAATCCACAAGAACATCAAAATCCCGTATATTACAGTGATCGTTTTGTTTATTGCTGGAGTAATATGTTGAGGAGAGATCATTCTTAGTTATGATAAGATTCACCTACAATAGGTGACAACTAAAATGAGAGGAAAGTTCTAAACCATTTTCATTACTTGGCTTAGTTGTTTTACTGCAAGTTGCAACAAAGACACGTCGAAATAAAACAAACCATTTGGAAAGTCTATACAGAAACTTCAAGTTCTTGATCTCAATCTAAGCCTGATAGATCTCATTTACAGAAAACTCCAGACGCAAAGACATTTGTTCCTCATGCGTGTAATATCTAGAAAGAACAACTGCTAGAGAGCTATGCAGGTATTATTACTGTTACTATATTTATCTATGTAGTTCAGAGCTCTAGCACCACCTTACCCGGAATCTGCTTCTTCTCCTTGGCTTCATGAGCTGCTACAACTTCGGTTATCGGAAATGTTTTTTCCACAGGTATCTTTAGCTTTCCGGCTCCAACTAACCGCTGAATCTCGGCCAGACCCTCAGGATCAGCCCTCATATACGTCCACCAATAGTCTGTTATTAGTTCACCACAGTCAGATTTACCTTTTCTACTCAAAAAGCTTAATGAGAATAGTTCCTGCAAAAGTAAAGAGAGAGACTAATGCAGGATCTATCATATACCTATTCCATGAGAATACTGATATTGTATCTTTTTCTTCGCCAAGAGTGAAGTTGCAAGCGGAAGCCCAATCACAAAACCGTATCTATCAGTCAATGATGCAGCCTCACCCTTCAATAGATAAATGCATACGAGAACATTAAAAAATAACAAAAAAAGCTTTTGTTAAGCAAATTCCAAGACCTAAGCAAGTTAGCAACCAAGGTCACTGTACCTCGTAAAACAGAAACTCAAGAAATATTATATACCTGGAGAGTCATATAGTTTCCACCCTTCCTCAAGAAGTTGATGCCTATTCTCTCGGTTTCAGGCCGACCAATAGTATCCAACACAGCGTCAAACTTTCCTTTTACTGCCAACTCAATGTCCTGTCCGTGAAACAGATTCAGGTTCATGTATCGGAGCAAGATAATCATGGCTCTACTTTAGATCAGCAGATAAATAAACAACTAGTGCCACTACCTCGGTAGTGTAGTCAACCGCTTGCTCGGCACCAGCTGCTAGTATTCTATCTTTGGTCTCCCCGACACAAGAAGCTGTAACATGACACCCAGAGGCTACAGCGAGCTGGATTGCAGAAAACCCTACTGCTCCTCCTCCTCCAAAAACTAATAGTCTTTGCCTGCAAAGAGAAAGGTTTTAAGTTGAGTCCATAGTAGCAGAAGAATAACACGAAAGCATCAGTATTAATGTTGAAAGGTGAATTAGTCTGAGCGTCCTGCCACATGCAGACAATTTATAGTTTCTCAAAATCATACCCTTCGATAATCCGAGCATTACTCTTTAAAGCGCGCCAAGCAGTCAAGGCTGCGAAAGGAATGGCACATGCCTCCTACAAGAGGCAGACAAAAAGAAGAGCTGAACACTCATAACCAAAAACAATCAAATGGATGGCGAATTAAGACATTCTGATCAATCGAAAAACCAATAGCCAAAGATAGAGAGGTATTCGAACTTCCTACTTACCACATGAGAAACCGATGATGGCTTTTCAGTGAGTTCTTCCTCAGAAAGAACTCCATAATCACTGTAAGTACCTCTTAACGCCGTGGGATGCAATGCACCAAAAACTTGTTGTCCTACTTTAAACGACTTCACTGAATTCCCAATCGCCGCAACTTCGCCACTGACATCGCGTCCAATGATAATAGGTAGATGTGGTTCGAATACAGAACGCCCATATCCTGCTCGTATCTGAATTCAATTTGCCATTATCAGCAGAACAATCTCACTACTCTTATTCAAAGACATGATTATGATTAAGATTTAGTAATTTCGTACCATAACATACTACTACAACATATGTAAGAGATCCACGATAACCCATTTCGCCAATCCTAATTCTTGATTAGATCCAATGCCACTAAAGAAATGAAATCAGAGCGGATCAAGTAGAGAACAACTCACTCTGCAATCAAGAGGGTTCACGGATACAGCTTTCGCCCTGACGAGAACCTCACTGGGATTAAGATTCGGCACCGGAACATTCTCCCGGAGCTCCAAAACCTCCGGACCGCCAAAGCGAGGCAGCATCACAGCACGGCAACCGGTAAAGACGCTCCGAAGAGAACTTAGCCTCGCCGGCCGGAAAACCAATCCCGCACTAGAATTACCGCGCAACGATCTCATGACTCGCATTTCTCCGGCGTCTATGAAATCAATTTACTAGCTTCTTCTTCTTCTTCTTCGCCGATGCGAAAACCTGCGTCGTCTTCTATTTTAGCCTTTTAGGTTTTGTTTTGTTTACACAGAAACGGAAAATTAAGACGTGGCAGCATTTGCGTCCGCAGAGCGGATTTGTTTACTTGACTGTACATGCAAACGTAGCTTTCAATTAACCGGTTTTTCTAAACCGAACCGATTCGACCAGAAACTTAGTAAATCAAGCGGCATTTGTCAGTTCCATCTCCAACTATAGCACCAAATTTGGTGTCATGAATAGTGTAAATTTTAGTGTAAAAGTAAATAATGTTTTTTTTCATCTCCAACCACAACACCAAATATTACATTAAAAACAATCTTTTATATTATTATATTATTAAATTTAAAATTCTCTTTATTTTTTCATAATTTTGATGAGTACTTATTATTTATAAAATAGATTAACTATAAATTTGATATAACATTACATTCGGTGATAAAAAAACAAAAATTGTCGACAAAAAAAAAATTACAATCAATAAAAAAATACTAAAAGATAAATTATATTATACAAATTTTCAGAATTAACATATTCTAACCACAAATGTTCAGAAAAATTTTCAAACAGTCAGAATTCTAGATTCTCTGCATTCCAAGAAAAAAGTCGTAATGTGATGTCATCTCCATCATTCCAAGATGAATCATCGCCATCCCCTGGTATGAATTCATTTGATCTAAATATGAATAACGAAGAAATCACTACTAATTTATCTCAGAGACCTATGGGTGTGAAAAAATCAAAGAAAAAACAACAAGATGAATTTTAAAAAAATTTTGGAGCAAAATGAAAAGCTTACCAAAGCTCTTGCTAAACATTCTTCTGAAAAAGTTGAAATTCGAAGACAGAAGCTTGAGTTACGAAGAATGAAACAAGAGCAGAAAATATTATTCGCGGATTTGAGTTCTAGATTCTAGCATGTCGTGCATATATTGAAAGTCAAAGAGCGGAAATTCTGAGTAGAAGATCGCCATCAAACCAATATGGAGGGCACGGAGAGAGTTCTCAAAGCCAATATCGTGAATCTCAATATCGAGAATTTCAGTATCAAGGAGATCCAACTCAAAGAGAACAAATTCAAAGAGACCATATCCAAGGAGAACAAAATCAAAGAGAAGACCTAATATCACCAAGTGACCAACAAGATTATACCCCATACTATCATTATCTTAGCGGAAATGGTAATCCAAATTATTAGAATATTGTTTAAGGTTATATTATGTCTTTAAAATTATTTTGTTGTATTTAGATTTTTTTTAATGTTTTTTTTGTTTTTATTTAGTAATTTTATGTTTAAATGTTTAATTAAATTTTATCACGAATTTTTAATCTTAATTTATTTACATATTAATAACAAAATTTTGTGCAATTCTAAATTACAAGAATGGATCCTACACTCTTAAAACCAATATAATTTAATTAATTAATAAATAATAATATAATTATTTGAGTAAATAGGAAAAAATAATATTTTAATGATTGGTGTTGTGAATAGTATAACACTATTCACAAAACACCAAAAAAAAAAATTGGGTGCATCATTGGAGAAGAATCAACACTAAATTTGGTGTATTGGTGCATGGTTGGAGATGGCCTAACTTCTCTGTGCGAACCAAAACTATTATCCTTCCATATGATCCAAGGTTAACATCAACTAGTACAGGTGATTTGAGTATAGTGGTTTTGCATTCTACAATATTCTAAAGTTCCCCAAACTCAACTGGAATGGGACAAAACCGAACCGAAGAACTTGAATAAGTCTGCAAACCTTTTGAGAAGAGTAAATTTGATAATACATGTGATGAACTTGTATACAACAAGATGGTACATTTGAGGAACTTTATGCTAAGAAGTAAGAAGAATCAAACGCCCACAACAAGAATAGATGAAAAAGAAAAGAAGACCAAAACTTTTCAGCGATACTTGGTTTCTGTTTACTCAGCTTTTGCTCTCGATTGATTCAAACAATTGGGGTGTGATTGGTGGAAGCCTTCCCTTCCTTTACCTTCTTCTTAGGCTTACGCTTCTTTTGTTTCAGCCTCATCCGTATCTGGTCTTTCACATTTCTCTCCCACTCTCTTTTGTTCTTCTGGTAAAGCAGCATCGCAGCTCGTGCATCATCAACCTGCCACGGATTGCCACGGATACAGAGTTGAGAATTGCAGATCCAGAACATTTAAAAAAGAAATGGAATCCAAGATGTTAGTTTTTACTCAGATGTACACACTTACAGGGCAGTGCTCTCCGTTTTGAATGTCAGCTCCAAGAAACTCAGCTGCAAGATGTTTTAGAGACTTCCTGGTTTTGTCCCTATTTGGAAAATTACAGGTGAGTTAATTAGGATTCGATCAAAAGGTTTACATTTTGGGAAAGCGAAAGTGTGACAAGAATCAGTCAGAGATAAAAGAGAGAGGGGTTGCTGAAGTGTAAGTACTTGAGAAAGGGCTGATACTCTGCTGTGTCCCTTAAGTCCTTTTTCGGGTGAGATAGCAGCAAGACCTGTTGCATTAGTCTAATTCTGTTAAAAAAAACATGTAATGGCAATTTAACCAGATTCCAGAGTTGTGAAACCTGCGGACCTTGAGATCATTGTGCAAGGCGTGTCCCACGAGAATCTTTCCCTTGATCATCTCCGCTACTTTGGTCTGAGCAACGCAAAAATCTTTGGCTGAGGCTCAAAAGAAATTAAATTTAATATCAAAGTTCCAGAGTTCCACCCTAAAAGCCTAAGTTTTCGGAGGAACAAAGGTCAAGAATGTTGACAGATTCAAGAAAGAAGGTACAAAACGATAAAAGTTAAAAAACCCAACCCTTTCTTAAGTCTCGAGGTCGAATTCCGCTAATATGCGTTCGGAAGTCAACAACGCGTTCTATTGGACGGACAAACTCATCGTACAGAACATTCCCCCATTTATTAACCTGTCAATAACATAAGTGAAATAACCAAGTCACCTTTATGTAGAAGAGGAGATATATACACTACTCAAGAAAATAGATTTAAGAGAAAGCCGTCGTGAAATTGCATCATGATTCCAAAAAACAAATAAGCTACTTAGAAAAGCAATGTATACCAAGGTAACTCGTCCAAGGGCGCTTTTGGTTCCTTGACTGACACCAACCATTTCGCAATCCATAGCCACTTCATCTGTCAAACTACCCAGAAGGTTGGTAAGATTCGGTACACAGGTTTCTAAAAAACAAAGGAACAGATATAAGCAAGAACCTTTCTTTCTTTGCTTAGAGAAATTTCTCAGCACTGCTTAGCTATTGATGTAGCCTAAGTCAGTTCCACAACGATCAACATTCAGAATAGTGAAAAGAAGAGGAAAATTTCAGCTTAGCTAAAGGTTCTGTACAAGATAATCCGAGAACCTAAAGAAACCTACAGTTAATTTTTCCAGAGCAGGAAGACACTAACAAGTAAAACTCATGAAGTCCACACACAAAAAATGTTTCAAAAGTGTTGTCAATTACATTGAGTATTTCTTCAGCTAGATAATCATCATCTAGCAACTAACAGCATTTTGTGACAAAAATTCCACAGAGCAAACAGCAAACATGACCCACCTGAAATCATCATTGACCGGAGTTAAGGGATTAATCTTAGGAACGTCCACCTCCGAGTCAGGTCTCTCCTTCCGCTTCCCTGCAAGTTTTCTGCGTACGTTAGAACAACTGAGAAACCAAACCCAAACTTCAAGCTCGAATTTTTCAGTTGGACACTACCTAATACGGAGCTGGGATTTTCGGGGTTGCCATTATTTGAAGATTTTCGATTGCCCGTGCTATGGAAATCAGATTTCAGCTTCTGCGAGGACAATGACGAACCAAAAAAAATCAATGGTTGAACAAAGTCTGAAAGAAGAAAGATAAGCTAAGAGAAAGAAAGTGACGAACTTGTTGGAGGAGTGACCAATTAGGGTTTAATTGAACGGGTTTAGGATTTATCTTCTTCTGCTTTCTCTTCAGATCAGAATTCATCTTTTTCGTTCGCCGGGTTGTTTAGAAAGAAAAAAATGGTTGCGAAACCTTAAAGCGCCTCGAGAAGAAGGTTTAAGACCTATTGAAAACGCCGTCGTTTCTGAATATGCGAAACGTTCCCGTTTCCTTGTGTTAAATAACAATTTTTGTCTGCGTGTTATACGACATAATACAACTTTCACCACGTTAGCAACTTAGCATTCTCGCTTTGATTAGATTTTGGTATGAATAAAGAAACATGTATTTTGTTTGAAGCGCAAAGTGATCTCCATATATTTCTAAGATGATTTGAAAAGGCTAGTTTCATATCTCTTTTCTGTCTTTCAAAAAAAATTAATCAAGAGAGCTAGTTTTGGTGTCACTGAAAAAAAATGTAAGAATGAAGAACCCCTTTGACAAAGTAATTATGGTTATAACAAATTAAAAAAATTAATGTATTCATTATGATTTTTAGCTTAGAAAGTAGGATAAGACATAAATGTATCTTTATATTAATTAAGAGAGCTAGCTTCGGTCTCACAAAAAAAAATGCGAGAATGAATAACCCCTTTGACAAAGTAATTATGGTCTATAACGAATAAAAAAAATTAACGTATTCATTATAATTTTTAGCTTATAAAGTAGGATAAGATATAGATGTATCTTTATATTAATCAAGATAGCTAACTTCGGTCTTATTGAAAAAAATGTAAGAGTGAAGAATCTTTTGACAAAGTAATTATGGTTTCGAATAAAAAAAAATTAATGTATTCATTATGATTTTTAGCTTAGAAAGTAGGATAAGACATATATCTTTATAATTCTTTGTCTTAAACATAAACAGAAACTGAAACTGAAATGATTAATGGGGCATAATTAGGTGACATGGTGGTTCAACCAAAAAAAGGCACATGGGAGGTACCTCCTTATAAATATATTCGCATCATACGGTTACTTGCCTCCTCGGATTCAATTGTTTTCCGTCACAGAATATTTTGTTGGCCGATGAATATGACACGTTAATAAAATGTGATAAGGTGTATGTATGTAAATAGCGATTGCATTTGTTGGAACGATATAACCACGGCGAATACACTTATTTTAGTTTCCAAAACAAATGTAGCAGGTTGTCCCAAACAAAACAAAAATAAAACAGAACAGTTATATTTAGAAGACATTTGTAATATGAAATACTAAAAAATTAGTAAACATTTAATAATTGTGATGTAATTTACACAAATATCTTTTCTTTTTTTCAATCCTTCGGCACTAATCATAGTCATTGACTTATTTCATTCGTTTTTGCCTAACGTTTAACCACCGTAAAAGAAGTTAATGGAAGTACTCACCAGTAGGAGAATTACATTTTTTTTTTTGTTGGAGTAGAAGCAAGCATATCTTCATTAATAGTTGTCAATGGCATGCTTTTTTTTGGGTGTGTGTGTTCAATGGCAATTAGCTTTAAATTGGTACAAGGCAAAAGCGATCTTGTTATTAAAAGTAGTACTCTCTGTTCAAAATTATTTGATGTTTTAGAAGGTTTTTTTTGTTCAGAATTATTTGATGTTTTCACTTTTCAATGCAAAATTTAATGAATTTTTATAGTTTTTGACCTTTTATATTCTGCAGATTGTCTTCTTATTGGCTGAATGATATTTAAATGGATTATGAATAATATTTTTAGTATATGAAAAATAAAAATTAAATGAATCCTTAAATTGTGTGCAAAAACTGTAAACATCAAATAATTCTGAACAGAGGGAATAGTAATTAGATAGGAAATCAAAAAGATTGTGTTAGTTAATAAAAACAGTACTCCAATTTAGATCATTTACGACGTCGTTATCATAATTAGGATATCAATTATTTTTAATTAGCATAAACAAATATTTGCTGTCAGAAAGCCGAAGAAACCAATCAAAAAGGCAAGAAAAAAGTAGATTAAATATTTTTAAAAAAAGGAAAGATAAACATAATAATAAAAGAAAATTTAAGAAAAAAATCCTTCGGAGAAGAGGAGGAATAATAAAAAGCTTCCGTCACCGTGAGGAAAGAAATTAGAAACCAGAAAACCGACGTCTTCCTCTCCCTCATCTCTCTCGTCCTTTGGACCTCTTCTCCCTGACTAAATTCTTGATAATCAGGTATGTCTCTCTTATGATCGTCACGATAATCGGATAATTCTCGAGCTTTTGATTCTCTATACACGGTCGTTTTGCTGATCATCTGTGAAAACTGTTTTCATACGAGCTGCTAAAGAATTGCATTGATTTTGGTTAGTCAAAATTTGTGCTTCATCGTCTAGATTTTTAATTTTCTAATTTTTTTTTTTTTGAATTCTGCTACATACAGGGGACTTTCCGATTATCCGAAATACAAGTAGTTGGCTCTAGTTGCTGAATTTCAAAGCTTTTTTATTTTTTTTACTTCTATCTCAATGTTAGCAAGATCAGGCTTTTTTACTTGATAAAAATCTCAGAATTCTCTGTACTCTTCTTAAAATTTTCTTACTATTATATTTTTTGAATGGAGTTTGATCTCATGTTGTTAAGACATGTAAAAAAAGGAACTTTTATGATTCGGACAGGTGTTGATGCTTTCTGATTTGAGTTAGATAGATGCAGCTAAGATTTCTTACAATACAAAGTATTGGTGAAGCTTAAATGTTCTGTCTGAGGATACAGTTTCTTTGTGGCTCCATAACTTGCGATTATGACGAAAAATGTTCGTGCATGTGTTTGAGACTTTCGTGTGTTGCATTCTCGAGACAAACTGGGGGATAGTATTTACTTTTTGTATGTTTTGATTCCACTACTAGATATCAAATTTTTTTGATAAGCTCCTCATTGAAGAAAACTAGCTAGAATCAGCTTATGATGTAATAGCATCCAGATTTTGCTCTTTCTCTGGGCGAATTGCACTTCTTCTTCCGCAATAACGCTGCTTATCTTTGTCAATTCAAATACCAGGGGGATTGGTTTAGACATGGAGCAGAATTCTCAAAACTTTGTCTTCCTTCCTGAACCTTGCATCGGATCTAGGTTTCCGCATCTAGATATCACACCAGTGAACACTGTTCCTAATTCAGAAGTGCATTCTCTGCAAGAACCTTATGACAACAACACAATGTTCTACGGGCTTCCACAGTACCATCATCAACCTGCTCTAAATCTTGGTCCTGCCATGTCAACCCCACCAAATTTTTATCTCTCTTATGCGGCTTTTCATGCTCCACCGAGTCATCCGTTAGCTCCTGGAAGTCATGGTGTAGTTACTTCCACTGAACATGAGAGGAACGCTCATTTTATGGGTCACGGATACAAAAGAAAGAGCGCTGAAGTTACACCCGGAAATTCTCACTATCTTAGTACTGAAGCAGCACCACCATGTTCTATCCCCCAATTGATTACACCGGAGGCAGCACCTTTCTCTTTACCACAGTTTGGTCCTTACCCGCAACCACTAGACCAGAGAAGTGTGTGGAACAGAGCAGGACCAGCTACAATGGATCCGTGTCTCTCTCATGGACATAACAATTTCATTCAAGGAAACTATGCAGCTCATCCTTTTCCACCTCCTGACTCAATCTGGTATGACCAGCATTGTAATGGCAATAGATCTGATGGATCCTCTTTGCTTTGGTCCCAAGCACCCTCTCTACCTTATATGAATGGTAAGATCCTTATTCTCAGCATTGAGACTGTTTTTTTTCTGCAAGTTCTTGAGAAACTTATTCTTCTTCTTGAATGATCTCTTAGGTAACGTTGCTACTGGCTCCATAGACTCTGGTAATGTCTGCTTTCCGGGATACCATGAAACATCTTGTAGCAGAAACCCTACACCATTTGTATACCCTAGTCACAACTATTTTAGCCATCATCCGGCACCTCCTCCTCCTCCCACCGTATACCCTCACATGGCTTCAGCCTCATACAGTGTTCCCGTGACTATGCATGATGCTTCGTACAGTCATGTGGGACCGGTTCAATCAAGTGGGTTTAGGATAAACCAGCAACATCCCCGAGATGACTTTGTACCTGAAGCGACTCTTAGACACCATGGACTGCCTCACTTCAGAGCGATTTCCGCGGATGTAATATCCTCTTGAGCACATTTTTCATCTTCTAGTGTCATTTTGTCCAAGAGTGTTTTCTCTTTAATATTGGCTTTTTCTGTTAATATGTGTAGGAAATTGCATTTTTGGGGGAAGGAGACTTCTACGATGCTATTGATTATGTTGATCATCATCGTGACATGCGCTTGGACATAGATGACATGTCATATGAGGCGAGTGCAGAGTTACTCTTTACCACATAGCTAATCTTATGAGTCCACGAGTACTCTTCAGTCTTATATAGATATCTAATGAATTCACATTGGTTTTTCTTATCCTATAACATTCAAAACTCGGGTGGTGCAGGAGCTCCTTGCTTTGAGCGACCAGATTGGAACTGTGAAGACTGGCTTGTCCGAAGAAGTTGTTAAAGATTTTCTGAAAAGAAGAACCTCTTTATCGACCAGAATCAACCTGGAAGAAGCTCCATCAAGCGATCTAGAAACCGGTTCTTGCACTATATGCCAGGTAAAGCCCATAAAATCTTGAGACTGCATCCTCCAAGCTTATGCAAAAGATTCACACACACTCATCTTAGTAGTAAAAGTCTCGTTCTTTTTTTTTTTATAATGGGGAATTGACAGGAAACCTACAAGAACCAAGATAAGATCGCAACGCTGGATTGCAAGCACGAGTACCATACCGAATGCTTGAAAGAGTGGTTGGTTATCAAGAACGTTTGCCCAATCTGTAAATCAGAGGCACTAGTCACAGAGAAGAAGAAGAGACGGTTAAGTATAAGAGAAGAGGTGGTTGCGGATTCAACCTAAGAGAGGTTACCGCAGATGGTTTTTTTTTCTAGGTGCTTTTATCTATAGGTTTTATAAGAAGAGTGAGGGTAAATTTCATCCCCAAATTCTGTAAATTTGTACTTTTGGGCACATAATTTGTTTGACAGTCTAAAGCTGAGATTGGCTTAGTGACTAAGAAAACTGTATAGGCTTCTTTGGTTCTTTGTACATTTGGTTGCTCCTTTAAAGTTTCTTTTGCCGTCTTCAACTAAAGCATCTTTCTCTGTTCATAGATTCTCGAACATAATTGTCATTGTGTGAAGATATTTAAAACATTATAAGGATCTGAGAAACTTACATCCAAAGAAGAAAAGAGAAACAGCAAAAGGAAAACACAAGGAAGAATCTGTATATCAAACTATATAGTTTCACTAAGAAACCAAGAAGGAAATGTTACTGGAAAAATGTAGATCAACTTGAGCAGCATCCGACCTTCTTGACCTCAGAAACATCGTCTTTAGACCCAACATTGATACTCTGTCCTTTAGGGAGAGTAGCCGGATCATCTCCAATATCCAGCGCTTTCTTGCTTGCCACACGGTATATTTGAGAAAGCACTTCAGTGAAAGCATTCTCAACGTTGAGTGCTTCGAGTGCAGATGTCTCCATGAAGAATGTGTTCTCTCTCTCTGCAAAGGCTTTGGCGTCTTCCGTTGAAACAGCTCTTAGGTGACGCAGATCAGCCTTGTTCCCAACAAGCATGACGACAATGTTGGCGTCTGTGTGGTCTCTAAGCTCCTTTAGCCATCTCTCAACGTTCTCAAACGTGATATGCCGTGTAGCATCGTAGACGAGCAAAGCTCCCACAGCTCCTCGATAGTATGCGCTTGTGATTGCTCGGTATCTTCCAACACAAAATCAATCATTTAGTTCTTGAGATTCTGCACTCAAGTTCTACAAAGTTACACATAATCAAGATAGAGCCCTTTTAGCTTAGATAGCAAACTAAGAATGGATGTAAAAGATCACCAACAAGCTTGTAAATTTAAACTTTTTCCTATAACCTTAGGCTCTACAGGAATCGATTCCTTTCCTCAGATTCATGAAGGTCCAAGATTAAGCAATTCAAACTACAAGTTTCTAGCCCCAAATGTAAACAAAAAAAAACACAAAAACTCGAATTGGGCGTAAGGGAAGAGTTCATAGATTTATTCATTCTTTGGGAAATTGTACCTCTCCTGACCGGCGGTATCCCAAATCTGAGCCTTGACGATTTTTTCGTCGACGCGAATGCTTCTGGTGGCGAATTCGACACCGATCGTGGATTTAGACTCGAGGCTGAATTCGTTACGCGTGAATCGAGAAAGGAGGTTTGATTTACCGACGCCGGAATCTCCAATTAGAACCACCTTGTAGAGGAAATCGTAATCGTCGTCAGCTCTATACGCCGCCATTGTGAATTTGTGAAGGGTTTCTTCGATCGGAGAATAAAGCTTCTGGTTCCAGAATCGGCGATTTTCAGGTAACCAGTAAGAAAGCGCGTACAGACGAAAGGGGAAGAAGAAACGCACATTAAAGAAGAGAGATTTAAATTTTGAGCCTTTGAAAGAGAGAGACACGGAAATGGATGAAATTTGCGTAGATCTGCTGACGGGTCGGATCTGAATCCGATTATCATCGGGTTGGATATTCTAAAGTGGTTAACTTTTTCAGAGTACACTCTTCACTCGCTAGTCGTTAAGTAGTCGTTACCCTTTTAAATATAAAGTATTCTTTTTTATTTTTTTATAGTAAGAAACTGACACTTGAAGAAACTCTAATCACCAATAAGTCTACATGATCCATCTTTTATTCTATTTCATTAGGCTACACAAAACTGCGATTTGTTACTTGGCTATAATTGTCTAATAACTAATCCTCTCTGTTTCTATCACAGAATCAACTGTGATATAATCTTCCTCATAATCTGGTTCATCATTCCTCCGGAGCCGGCAGGTTCAAAACCTTCATCTTCTTCATCGTTTTTTGCATCATTATCTTCATTATTAGCCGGCAGGTTATATTCCAAACCTCTCACGTCCTGAATCAGTGGAGCCTGCTGTCTAAAGTATTAACTTTTTGAGATAAAAAAATGCAATGACAGTAGAAAAAAACGATCTCGGAAGTTGAATGTTATACCGATGAAGAAGGAGGAGAATAAGGGTAATTTTGTTGTAGGTAAATGGACAATGCACGCCGCAAAATTTCAGGAAGGTATGGTGTTATAAAGTTGGAAAAAGCTTCAACACTTAAACTTGATGACCCAAAACCATTGGACAATGTAGTCGATGATGATATTGGCCCGGAAACAGAGTTTGGACGGAGAGGATTGACACTCAATGGTCTTGTGTTGTTTCCTTGAAACCCGGGTACAGAGTTGGGACGGTGCAGATTCGAAGAGGTCGACGAGCTTGTAATGTTGGCTTGAGCTTGAACACTTGCACTTGATGATGACCCCAAAAGAAGAGAGTTTGGCCTTGTGGTGCTTGACCCTAATAATGACCCAAAGGTAGAATCTTGAATATCCGAACTTGATGACCCCAAAATATTGGACAATGTAGTCAATGATATTGGCCCGGAAACAGCGTTTGGACGGTGAGGATTCACACTCGATGGTCTCGTGATGTTTCCTTGAGTCCCGGGAACAAAGTTGGGACTGTGCGGATTCGAAGACGGATCATAGGGCAACAGCCATCTTGTCCTGGCCTCCCTTCGAGCTTGACTATACACTGGGACTGCAATTGGAACAGGGCTTGGAGTGCCTGGAGGGAACGGCAACAATTGACGCTGCATAGAAGTTGCCTCAGACGCCATTCTTGTGAGGTCATGTTGTGGTATCTTCACCAGATTGAAAACATATAAAAAAACAAAAACAACTCTTTATTTGGTGATTCAAACGCAATCAACAGTAAGAATAGAGTAAATACGATCTTGGATCTTATTATACCATTGAATAAGGAGGAGGAAGCTGATGTTGTTGAGCTTGAAGATTCGAACTTGATGACCCCAAACTATCGGACAATGTAGTCGATGATGATCTTGGCCCGGAAACAGAGTTTGGAGGGTGAGGATTAACACTCAATGGTCTTGTGATGTTTCCTTGACTCCCGGGAACAAAGTTGGGGCGGTGCAGATTCGAAAACGGATCAAAGGGCAATAGCCATCCGGTCATGGCGTCTATTTGAGCTTGGCTATACACTGCATTTGGAACAGGGTTCCTCATTGGAATACCAATTGGTATCTTCACCAGATTGAAAACAAGAAGAAAAAAAAAAAAATCTTGAATTTATGATACAAACGCAATCAACAATAGAAATAGACTAAATACGATCTTGGATATTTTTATACCATTGAATAAGGAAGAGGAGGAAGCTGATGTTGTTGTTGGTAATTAGGAATTGCAGGGAAAAGCAATGGTTGAGAAGAAGTCGACGATCTTGTAATGTTGGCCTGAGCTTGAACACTTGCACTTGATGATGACCCCAAAAGAACAGAGTTTTGTCTTGTGTTGTTGTTTGACCCTGATAATGACCCAAAGGTAGAATCTTGAATACTCGAACTTGTTGTAAATGGGACAATACTCCAAGACTCGGGAGAAATTGTAGTAATGGTTTCGCCATTGACATTCACTTGAGACTGACTAGTGATCTCTGTCGAGACTGGAACTGAATCATCGTTAGTCGCTGATGATGATGATGATGACCCAACGTTCTCATGATGGCTACGAGCGCTTCTCTTCGCCCTCTTCACAAAACTAGCAAGAATCGATGAATCTATTGGCTGATTTGGCTCTTCTATGCTAATCCCCGACTTTCTTTTTCTCAACTTTGTGTTCTCTGGTATCGAAATCATCACCGATTTATCTCTCGACTCTCTTCCTCTGGTAATTACAGCTGATTTTCCGTTATTTACCGAACTCCCATTATCGTCATCTCCATTGCCGTCGCTTCTGCTTTCACTAGCCTCGTAATCAGATTCTTTATCGCTCTTCTTGTCTTCTGATGAATTCCCTCCCACCATTATACTGTACTTTGTTTCTTGATCGATCAAAACAAAAAGTTTATTTCTCTGGATTATAATTGGTGAAGAGAGAAGACTTGAGTGAGCAAGATTATACTGTATCGTATATATAGAGAACGCAGGAGTCTCGTTTAAAGAGTTTTTTTTCAAATGATTGATAAGTTCTTAAAGAAACAGTCTGCCAAGAAATCCAAGAAACCAATTAAGAATACTTTTTTTTTTAATGAATTAAAAAACTCTTTTAATTTTTCAGAGACCAATAAAGCTTCAATGTCAAACATTTATACAAATCCTTGACTCTAATATATAGAAGTTTCAGTGCAGAAAACATATCTCTTTATTTTTTCCTTAGTTCTGTACTTCTGTGCCAACAATGACACCAGAGAACGAGGAAGAAGATGAACAAGAAACGGGCAGTAAACATACAGAAATAAATAAATTTATGGAATAGAATGAGCAAGAAGGTCCCGTAGCTCAGTTGGTTAGAGCGTTGGTCTTATGAGCCGAAGGTCGCGGGTTCGAGCCCCGCCGGGACCAACTGAGATTGAAACATGATATTTACCTTTTTATAATCCACCACTATGTTTTAGCAACTTTACAATTTCATCCCAAACTAGTCAATTACAAACATGGAAACCTCTAAAAATCTTAAACCATCCTCTTTTTTCCGAATCTCGACCTTTATTTTGACCAGCTTCCTCAATCTTGGCCTAAACTAGTTAAATTTATCAGAAACAGCCCCACCTTGTATTTGAAGAAAAGATCAAACACCACCTTCACCTTTGGTTGACATGTCAATCACCAAGATGTGTTTATTCACCACAGAGAGAGCGAAGCTTCAACTCAATCTCTCTCTCTCTCCATTTACTTAAAAACCACTCGACACTAACCTTCTCGTGCCTTAAAACAAAGAACACACATTATAATCCCATCTCTCTATCACATAATCTGGTTAAACCTTTAACCTATATTATCTTCTCCATAAAACCTTTTGTTGTTCTGAATCACTCAGATTTTGTACTTAATAATTTTTTGTTATGGGATCTGGATGGTTGCTCCGTTCTCTCATCTGTTTAAAAGGAACAAAACAGAACAAATCAAGTCGAGGCAACGTTAGTAAAAGCTCTGTTTCATTCTCTTTTTATGTCTCGTATACTAGTAACTTAAAACGATGATTTTCTTTTTAGATACTATCTGAAACATCAAACCGAGTCAAACCGGTCGGATCAAGCTCTGCTTCCACTACGCTTACCGTAGAAATCGCTGTCATTCGCATTCAGAAGGCTTTTCGAGCACACAATGTATGTCATTCTCCACAATTTTGAAAACTCAAAAACCGCTCCAGTCTAAACGTTTCTTGCGAATCTTCAGGCTAGAAAAAGACTATGCAGCTTAAAGAGCGCAAGGAGATTTAACTCATTGATCCAAGGCCATACAGTGAAGAACCAAACTTCGATTTCACTCAATGTGATGCATTCTTGGTGTGATATACAGAGTCAGATCAGAGCACGACGTTTGTATATGGTGACACAAGGTAGACTACAGCACAAATTATTGGAGAATCGGATGAAGCTGGAGATCAAGCTGCATGAGCTAGAAGTTGAATGGTGTGGAGGGTCTGAAACAATGGAGGAGATTCTCGCGAGAATACAACAGAGAGAAGAAGCTACAGTGAAGCGTGAACGAGCAATGGCGTATGCTTTCTCTCATCAGGTCAAAGAAAAAACTGAGACTCAAATTGGTTTGTATTTGAGATACCTTGTAGCTGAAGTAACTTTCTGGTTTCTGTTTTGTAGTGGAGAGCTAATGCTACACAGTACCTAGGTCAAGCTTCGTTTAACCTAGACAAAGAAAATTGGGGGTGGAGTTGGAAAGAACGGTGGATAGCAGCTCGACCTTGGGAGATTAGGGCTCAATGCCAAGCCAGTAAACCGATCAAACCAGCTAGAAAACCGGAGAAATTGTCATCCATTGTGATCACAAAGAAGACCTCTGCTAAACCGGGTTTGTCAAACACCAAGGAAGCTGCAAAGTCCAAAAAGCCTGGTTCTGGATGATTTTGATTGAAAGAAATCAACAACAACAACCACAACAAAAACCGGTTTATGTTTACATCTAAGAATTGTCTTGTTTGGTTTCTCAATGGATTTGTTTCTATAAACTGGTGGTTATTGTAAAACAAGTTCGTTAACGCCACGGTAACGGAAAATCTTTATCACCCGTTATGTTTTATAAATTGGTCGGTTTGGGCTTACTCTATTGGGCTTCAACGTCACGAAAAACGACAGATGCCGAATTCTAGTAATCTCTCATTCAGGTCTTCTTCTTGTTTTTGGTCTCTGTCTCTCTGTTCTCTCTCTGTCGCGAAAACATTCAGATCGCTAGCTGGTCGTGTAATTTTGCTGCTGTATTTGTTCTTCTTCCCATAGTTGAGGTAATTTTAATCCTCTTTTTCGATTTTTGAATGATGATTGCTTAAATTCATCTTCTTTTAATGGGATCAACCTTGATGTTTGTTGCAATTTGTTATGATTCGAGATTTCTGGAAAAAAAAAAAGGGAACCTAATTTCCTTGTTCACGTTAGCGGTTTTTCAAGTGATTGTGAAAAAAACCCACGTTATGATTGAGTTCTTCCAGTAAATCTCTTGGAAGATTTTATTGAAAACGACATTCTTTATTTTTTACCCAGAAAAACAAAAATTGAAACTTGGATCGATCTAATTCCAGCTCCACACTTTAATATCGTGTTGTATAAAAACCTAATCTTTCGTGTGTAGAGGGGTTTTTCTTAACCAATCAACCTAAATTTCTCTGATTCGCAGATCTCAAGAGTTAACGAAAATGAATAAAAATTCACGGTTCGAAATCCCCTCACCGTCTTCTCCAGCCTCTGCCTCAGCTTCCGCAGATGGTGAGCTAAATGAAGACGACATCTTCGCAATTGATATATCTCACGCGCCTCGACAGTCTCCGTCATCTTCTCCGGCGCAACATCCACCTGCTCGCCAGATTCAGAGAAGCAAAAGCGGTTTGAAGAACGTTGAAGCTTCTGGTATCCTCGCTGCTCTTCCCGAAACTTCTGGAAACAGTTACCTAAACCACGTCTTCCACCACAAGCCTGCGGCTGTTCTCTCCACTTCAGTCTCTTCCACAGCTTCTTCCTCGTCTTCCTCAGGCGGTGGTGCATCAGCTGCTTCTTCATCTTCGGCTCGAACCATCCCCACCGCTCCTAAACCGCCTCAAGAGAGGCTTCCATTTGTGGCTTCTTTTAATGGAGGGAAGTATCCTCAATCAGCTCCTGTTCAAGTGCCGTTAGCATCTTCGGCGATGATGAATCGTCATAAGAAGGAATTCAAGTTGACTGATGTGGTGGATGACGATGAGGAGGAAGAAGAAGAAGGTGAAATGCTTCCGCCACACGAGATTGTAGCTCGGTCTTTGGCTCAGTCTTCGTTGCTATCTTGCTCAGTGCTTGAAGGAGCAGGAAGAACATTGAAAGGGAGAGATCTCCGGCAGGTAAGGAATGCTGTTTTCAGAAGAACCGGTTTCATAGATTGATTGATTTTTTTTTTTCCATCAAAGACCATTCTTTCATTTGTTATCCAATTGAACCTGTTTTATTTGGGGCCAGAGAAACGTTCCAATGTATTGTTGTTCATATATGTTGTCTACATTAGACCGATTTGTTACTTCATATCAAAGAGATTGATGTGATTGCACATGTTTTGGTATGTGTCTATTATTGCTTCATGCTTCACATGTTGATGAGACAGAGAGCTTTAGAATTACTTTGTGGTTTGAATTTCACATTTACGCATTTCTTAATATGACGGCTTTGGAAAGTTCTTACATTGTTCCTAAATCCTAATCTAAATTGACCAATCTTTAAAAGTCGTCAGAGTCTCCTCTCAGAAGAAACATAACCACCTTTTTCTGTCTCTCAATGTGTTTCTTTTATGCAATCTTTGCTCCTTTGTTTTTCTCTGTGACGTCAACAATCTTTGCTCTCCTTGCAATGAAAAGCTGTGGCTTTTTTTCGGTAGATCTTTTGTAAAAAGGCATTGAGATCTTACAAGAGAAAGAGAGAGGGGACCATTCCTTATTTCTTAAAGTGACAGCTCTTTTACAATTTTGGTTCCATCTTCTTCAACATCTCTCTCAAACCCGTTAGATATTTTGAGGTTTAGTGAGAAACGTTTTACTTGGTCATATAACAGATAGGTTGTACTATATATGTCTTACAGAAGAAACTTATTAATGATATTTATCAGTTGACGAGAGAAAATTGAAAAGAGAGAATAAGTAGTAGATTGGATATGATTTTTGAGTCATCAGACCCTTAAAAAAAAAGATTCGGCCTTTCTACCTTTTGGTAGAACGTACTTTATGATGTCTCAGCACCTTCTCATCTCATCTGGTGTGGTTGGTGATGTATTTATCACATCACATGAAAAGGTGTTTGCTTTTCTTTCTTTTTAAAAAGGTAAATTTAAGTAATTCTAATAATTCTCTGATAAATGGAGGAGGTATGTAAAATAAACATCTGAGAAATCATGCATTTAACCACAAGTATATATTTGACTAACTTGCAAATCCATATTTTTATATGTCTAAAAGATGATAGAGAAGATTGGCTAGTTATGATGAAGTTCCTACATTTAGACAAACATGGGTGGCTCTCTATACCTATCTCATGTCCCCATTCTTAGTTACTCATCAAAGAAGACAACATCACATTCAAGTTTGGTGGATCTCCTCCTACCACAAAAGTAGGTGAGAGAGAACAATTAATGACATCAGACATAGAAAAACAATCTTTTTTTTTTTACTCCTGTGAGGAAAGTTTCACTTGTAATTTAAGGGAACTGGCTAAATCCCCCTGATGTTCCAGAAGAAGCAACAATTCAAAACTTACTGTTCATGGAAAATGACTAGCTTTTTTATTCATTGGGGCCAAAAGATTGAGTGAAATATCAGAATCAAACCAGGCTCATGTTGTTTAACGAACAACAAGGATCTATCTAGTTTGAACAGAGCATTTTATTTAGGTTGGGTTTTTTTGTTTTTTTTTTACAGTTTCTTAGCTGAGAAAAGCAGCAAAAACCCGTACGAAAATTAGAGAGAAAGTTCAAGACTTTATTAGAGCATTCATGGAGTTACACACAACAAGAACATGGAACTGCAATTTCTCAAAGTATCTGGGTATTGCAGTTACATAGAAGATGAGGATAATGATGATACAAACACAACACAAAAAGAAATCTACCATAACTGAGCTACAGAACATGGTCTAACTGGTGAAAAAGATAAAAATTACAATAGGCAAGGTCAAGCTATTGGAAGAAAAGAAGAAGAACCTGAAATTTTGGGCCACATTTGTTGTTCTTTCCTCTTCTTCTCTTACAGGCTTTCCTTGCGTTTTTATTTCTCAGGCCATTGAATACCAAAGCGAGAACGCCTTCCTTGTTCCGAACAATCTAAGCCAAGCTTTCAACGTGAATGGAAGCTTGACAAGCCCTGAAAAAAACTGGTTCTTGAGTTCAATGAAGAAGCAAAAGGACTCAACTTTGATGTAAAAAAGGACAGAATTTAGATAACCTGGAATTTAAAGAGGATTTGTTTCCGAGTGTTATCAATGGCGAGAAATAGAGGAAGCAGAGGACGGCTTGTTGGTGAGACCGTCGTGGTGCTCCTCATCTTGGCCCTGAAACCGTGCTGGTACGCGAAAACCGGAAGAGAATTCACCTGAGGCGAATCCGATTCCCGGGATAGCTGATTGGTGAACCGGCGGAGGAATATGGTGGTGGTGATGGTGATGGTGGTTGAGATCGTCGGTGGAGATGGATTGATGATGGTGAGGATCAAACCAAGCACGGATCATGGGCGTGTAACTGGACTGAAGGGGACCCCTCTGAGAAAAAAGCTGGCTTTGGCCAAATACTGGCTGAAACGACGTCGCCGAAGGAGGAGGAGGAGCGAAGAGAAACCCTCCTCCTCCTCCTCCGTTTCCTGTATCGTTTGCTCCGCCGCTATTCCAAGCGACCAGTCTCTGAATCCTTCCGAATTCCGATGACTGTTGCTCCCAACCACCCGTCGTTGTCTCAAACGGATTGCTCTGCCCGTAGAACATAACAGGCTCGGCGACGGAGGCTGAAGCTGAGTGGTGGTGGAGAAGCGACGGTGGACCATCCGGGAAAGATTGCAGCGAGAGACGGAGATCTTGGCTCTGGCTATTGCTTCGAGAAAGCAAATCCGGCGGATGATTATGGTGATGGTAGCTGTGCATAAGCTGATTCGGAGGAGCTTCCGTTGAAGAGCCAACCACCGGAAAAAACGATTTGATAGTGTCAGCAATCGAATCTGAGTCCATCGACGGCGGAAGAAAACTCGACTCGTTATCGTTGTTACTCTGATGCTCTGCTCCACCGTCGAATCCAACGCCACCGAACTGAAGATGTTGCTGTTGCTGTTGCTGTTGCGGAGGCGGCGGAGACGACGGAGAGATTTGGGTTTTGACGGCGGTTCTTCTGGGTTTGGCGTTAGCGGCGGCGTTGCGGATAGCATCGGCGGGATTCCAGGGAGGAAGCTCAGCGAGCTCGTCAATGGAAGTCTTGGCCTTTTTGATAAGCCAATCAACGGCTTTGCTTGGTCTGTCGAAGCCAAGCCTGTCTTGAACATCGTAGAACTGAATCGCCGTGTGAGCAGAGAGCCTCACGCGCCGGTCACGTGGTCCTTTGGCCGTGCAGACTTTGCTGTGCCGATCTTTTCTTCCCGTCGACCGCACAATGTGACCTCCTTGCACCTCCACGATCTCGCCGCAGCCGCCGTTCGCCGCATCCGACGTGGCACGGTGTCTCATTGAAGAAGGAGGCGGTGCTGGTGGGTGGAGGAAGTGGTGTGCCTCGTCGTCGTCTGCCATTGGTTGAGCATATTGAGGAAGCTCGGCGTCTTCTTCGTCGAGGCGGCGGCGGCGGCGACGGCGGTCGATGGACGGTGGGGAATCCAGAGTCACTCAAAATGGATGTAACTCACGCATAATTGCCTCTCTCACCTCAAAAACCCTAACCCCCTTACAAACCAGAGCTAGTAGCTAAAGCCTAAGAAGAAAGAAGAAGAAGAAGCCTAAGAAGAGGAAGGTTTATCAAAAGACTAACCCATATCTAAATCTCTCTCTCGCTCTCTCTCTCTACCTCGCTTAAATTCTCTCTCTCTCTCTCTTCTTGAGGGTATGTGTACTTGCAAGAAGGAGACCAAACAGATGAAGGAAGCAAGCAAGCGAGGCAGAAGAGGGGAGAGAGAAAGGGAGATGTGCAAATTGACCAATCAAGAAAAAACCCAGAGAAAGCTTTTTTCGGTTTTATATATATTTTTCTCGGGAAAATATAAAGAGATGGTAAAAGGAAAAGTAGTAAATAAGAGAAGAAGAAGAAGAATGAAGAAAGAGGAGAGTGTGTTGTGTTGTGGGTTTGATGATGACGCAACTGGTAAGATGACAGTGTTTGTGTTTCGCTCTCTCTCATTAAAGATCTCTCTCATCTCTTCCCACACATTCATTTTTTCCTCTTTTTCCTAATTTTTCTTATTTTTCATTTTTTTTCTTTTCCTTTCTTTCTTTTTTCGGTAATCCAAGTTTAGTCGTCTCCCAAATTTATTCCTCTCTTGTTTTGACAAAACCAAATCTGTTTGTTCTACCTGTAAATAAAATACAAACGAATAACATAGAGGTCAATAAGTTTTAGTTAATTCATACTTATAGTTAATTCATACTTATTGGACTCTATGCACTTATATAGAAAACATACCATATTAATATTAAACGCTTGATATATTATCATGAGCACATCATAATCGATATACTTAATATAGAGTTGAATTTTACTGGAACGAACAACTTTATTTATATTTTTTTCCGGTTTCAAGATTCAAGAAATGAATAAATACCCTAAAAGAAAACCTATGGTGTTGGTTGGGTCAAGGTTCAATTCAGCGTTTCGTGCATCTCCGGTTTCTTTTTAAGGGTTGACCCATATTGTGGAAATATACATAAAGTTCTTGTTGATGCTCCACTTCTCCACTTTTTCTTTTAAGAATCTCAATAGTTAACTAAAGCAGATTTTATTCGGAAAATCGATAACTTCATCACACAAGTATATACAATATAATATTAGCACAACTAACACTCTTCATATTAGTCTATACACTTAACTATGAAATTAAACCCCCTATCAATTAGTAAACAAACCGACATCCTAGTAATCTAAAATCGAATACTTCTTCCCTACTTGACTTGTCGAAGTAACTGTTTTAACCGTATCATGCGTGCAACCCAAATTGATATAGAACAGGTATTTTGAATTATAAGAATAACATATATATATATATATATATATATATATATGAATTAATAAAGGAGAGTAAAAGACAATCTAAACTTCAACGGAGATATTTCAAATCTTTTTGAGACTTTCACAAGTTCAAAAATACTTGGTTGGACTCCATTATGCTTCTTGTATCCCAGCCAATTGACTATACGAGTCGCACAACTAATTCACATATGGAGTATATTATGGTGCATGATAATATAGTTAACAAAAATATCTCCAAGTGGTTTTAAAAAAAACGAATAACAACAAGACCATATTGTTGCTCACACAATTTATAACATAATAAATTTGAACACACGTACGGTAAGCTAACATAGTTTCTGCAAGAATTATTTTTTTCAAAGCAAAAAATAATAAACTTGACGCAACGTATCATATTATATTATTTATTAGTTTTGGAAAAATTATACAGCATTATTTAATGCTTTTAAACTATTCCGTCTATATGTACATAAATAATTACTATCAAAGACACCTACTTTAATGGAATAATAAATCAGAAAGTGACATATTAGCATTATATAAATGGGTCAATTGACAAACCTAATACGAACACATTAAATAATAGATCAAACGAAACAAATACTATAGTTTATAAAGAAAAGGAGAATATATGTCATCCCACGGTTACATATTAAATTAGTTACATCAAAGGAGCTTCCACTTGGAATTACAGTCACAAATCATCGCAACACAACAAAATAGAATGATAACAATCAAATTTCGATCATAGGAATTTCGTACTTCAATTATTTTATCAATCACAATAACATTATATATTCAGTATCGTCAATTTGACATTTGAAACTTCACAGTATTCGATAGGGTAAGGTATGCCTCATCAAACATTTTTTTATAGCATATGGCCAACAAGACAAGTAATATGTATGGAGAAAAAATCATGTTATTATTGATGTTAAGACGACTATAAGACGACGACTTAAGTTTAACAACAAAAAGGACGACGACTTAATATATGATTTAATTTAAATCTGCTTTAAATTAATTGATCACTTCCTGTATTTTTTGTTTAACGTAAAATAGGATAAACTTAATAATCGAGTGTCTAACCAACGACAATAGAATGTACAGTAACAGATTTACTTGAGCAGAATGTCTAACCAATAATCAAATGTGTAACTGTGTGTAAGTATGGACTTGAACCTTAAACCAACCTGGTGCGGTCTGAGATTATAATCACTAGTAATCAAAGCCGTGCCTGAACACATGAAATATGTGCTTCAGGGCCAGTAAGATTAATAATTATTAAGAGCCAGTTTCCAAAAAAAAATGTATTAGATTAGTTGGTTTTTTGTGTGAGTTTTTAGGGAAGGTTGTCGAATTCGAATCTTCTTGGAAGCACAATTATGTCAATTATTCTTGTTTTTAAAAACGTTGGTTAAGATCTTATCCCACATCGAAAGATTCACAAAAATTAGAAGAGAAAGCTGCAATATAAATACAACTTGTCCCATATTAAAAAATTTAAAAAATTTAAAAAAGAAGTTGGAGTATAATTAAGAATGTTTATCTTATAAAGGGGGTCAATTTTATTTTCTTGCTTGTAGTTCTACAATTCTCAGGCACGGCTCTGGACTAATCTTTGGAATCCTTTTTTTGAGCATATGTTCAAGATTTTAGATAAATCTTATGCATGTGTATGTTAATATTTTTTGACAAACAAACTTTTCGACCCTAAAAATAGATAAAATCTAATATTTATACTATAGATATTGTGCAGATACACATACAATCATGTCATCTAAAATGGCCCCGCAACGAAGTATCAAATACTTAAAAGCATGTACATATATCATAAATAACTGAATAACTGCTTTTGTAACGTGTTTCATATACGATATATGTACGAAGTGTATACTGTAGACTCTATAGTTAGTCTTCATGCGTTATTATTTTATGAAGGACGATGGTCAGTTGGTCACGATGCAGATGCAGTCGACAATAACAAAAAAGAAAATTACTTGCTTATTATTAAATTTATCAAACGATACCGTTAATCACACAAACTAATCGATTATTTAAAAAGACATTTTACCAAAATAAGCTAGTAACGTGGACATACAATAATGACTCGTCAGCAATCATGTTTCAAGAATGGTCAAATAAGTAAATAAATCAATAGTACATGTATATTGATATTTTTGGTCAAAGATTTAGAAACGAGAAGGTGTTGGAGATGTGAATAACAATATCCCAGAGATTTGTCACACAAAATTGTAAACTACATAGACTTATAAAGATAAGAACTCTAAAACATGTAAGAAAATTGGAAACAATTTGAGGAAAGGAAAAGTTGGAGACAGTCAGTTCTCCATTTTCCACCGAGTATCTACCATTTTTAATCTGAAATGTTTTTTTCATTGGCTGGTAATTTTGATATGCTCAAAACCGTCTAACATTATTTGACTCGCTTTTTGCAGAGTATTACGGTTCAAGCTGTAACTATTTAACTAAAAAGCCCAATTTGGTTTGTTTTAGCAGTATAAAGGGTGAAGATGCAAAAACAACTCATTTTATAGTTGTAAGGGAAAAAAGAAAGACATACGTGACGTCGGATTGGCACGTAGGACATGACTTTGCTACTAAAATCATGATGACGTGGCGTCACATGACAAATGGCTCCACATGAAATTAACACTTCACCTACTTTACCCTTCGGAAATCAAAGGAAATCACGATTTTGCCCTTAGACTGGCAAATTCGTGGCTTTTGTCGTATGTTATCGATAGTACCATTCGGATCAGTTGTATAAAAATCATTTGTCTCCATGTTTCCTTTATTCTCAAAAACATAAATTTGGTTTCAATTACTTTTTTTATTATGAATACAAATATTAAACACACTTCCGTCCATTCGCTATCAAAATTATTTTGTTTTGTTCGATATTATTTGTCACTTTCGAAGGGTCTCTATTTATTTACTACTCATATTTTTGTTGTTGTTGTGTTTATCCCTAAATTTTACTTCAAATCTATTAGATCGTTCTACAGACCACGTTATACACAGCAAATAGAGTTCAAGAATAGATCTCTTATACAAAATTTATTGAATTCTTTTTAGGTTAATGTTTCGAATTCATTAAATAATAAAATGTTTATTGACAAGGAAAAAAGGAAAAAAAAAAACTGAACTATTTTGGAAAACACTTCTCGATTTCTTTAATTTTCGATTTTGAAAAAGCTATTTCTTATTTCTCTAATATCGTGTAAGTAATTTTATTTCCACATGGGAATTAGTTGGGATAAAGAGAAGGAAAAGAAAAGAAAAGGTGAGACATTGAGAAGAGACGTAATGTCCTTTCACTCTCTCACTTCTTTTGACATGTAATTTATTCATCAAAGTAAGAAAATAAAAATCATAAAGACAGAAGGGCTCGTGATCCAACGATAACTACAAGTACACTTTCATCTGTCTTTAGATGGATAAATAAATACAAGTGAGGTTGAGGCATATAAATCGATCTTGTAAATAGAAGCCCAAGCAATGCTAACTTATATATATACATCAAGGTCAATAATTTTTTTGTTTCCTTTTCTTTTTCAAATAAGAATAAGAGCGCCAAAAAGATGAAGACTCATAGCTTACGTTACCATAGCAACAGTAGTTTTCCTTTTTTACTAATTATAACAGTGTCCCCAACTGAAATGGGGAATTAGTTCATGGATTTTGTGTGTGTGTTTTTTTTTAATATAAGTTCTGTAGAAAAAGAAGACAACTCTACCGGAAAGTATTAGTCCAAAACCAATGATTTAAAGGACATTTGGTGTAACAAGAATACCATAAAGATCCCCGTAATTAAAGAAAAGCGAACGAGGATCTTATGTAGTAGTAATCGCCATAACTTCAATGTGGGCTTTTTTGGGCTGAGATTTGACAGATTTGGACAAAACACGCCCCAGTTGTAAAGATTTTTCGCTCCACTCACTCTTTACTTATTTTCGCCAAGCTTAGACAAGTCAAATTGATCATTTTGATCATCCATGTTGCTCAACAAGCAGCTATTAAACAAGAAGAAACCAGAAGAAGCCAAACGAAGATCAACCATTTGTAGCTAATTTTATGATTTAATTTAGAACCAGAATCAGGCGCTCAACTGCTAGAAGACTGGAGATGAATCCACAACACAAGTCAACAACTCTTAAAATCGATTTAGGATATAAACTAAAAGAAACAAACCGAATGAGTGAGAAAGTTCCAACCATGCCACAGTTACTTAGGCTATTCCCTCACACAATACCAGACTGATAAACACCGAAGACAAAAGAAGTTTTTAAAGTCTTGCTATTGCACTCTCCTTCCTCCCCCTCTGATTATCTATACATCGTCCAGAATGCATTGATTTAAAAAAGAAAACCCACGACTGGTGGTGGTTCAACTAGTTCAACCCTGGTACGGGTTGCCGCTGCCATCACGGTTAGGTGGATAGTTGTTTTGGTACTGTGGCTGCTGCTGCTGGTAGTTGTTGTTACCTGACCATCCTGCATTTGGTGGACCTCCTCCCATGTTGTTATGTGGTGGTGGTGCTCCTCCATAGTTCGGTGGTGGTGGTGGTCCTCCATAGTTTGGTGGTGGTGGTGCTCCTCCCATGTTGCTTTGTGGTGGTGCTCCTCCGTAGTTAGGTGGTGGTGCTCCTCCATAGTTTGCTGGAGGCCTCTGTCCTCCCATGTTGTTCTGTGGTGGTGGTGGTCCCCCATAGTTTGGTGGCGGCCTTTGTCCTCCCATGTTCGGAGGTGGTGGTGGTGGTCCCCCGTAGTTCTGTCCCATGTGAGGCGGAGGAGGTGCAGAGCCACCCATGTGAGGTGGAGGAGGTGCAGAGCCACCCATATGAGGCGGAGGAGGACCGCCCATTGGAGGACGTTGAGGAGGAGGGCCTCCTGCCATGTTCTCTCTTCTCCTCTCAAAGTTTCTGCTTCTATCAAAGTTGCGAGGACGGTCATTACGCCTGTTTCTTTCGTTTGCTCTAGCATTGTTCCTAATCCACTCCTCGTGGTACTTGGGATCATAAGGAACAGCCTTCCCATCAATAAAAGGTTCCCCTGAAAGTCAATGTAAGAAACTCATCAAGCTAACTCTTTAACATGATCACCAGAAAGATTTTTAACCCTCAACAAAGCAACATCAATGCAACTTCTATTACAACAGTCTTAAAATTGATATCACTATTCAAGTCTAACAAATCAAACTTATTTCCAGAAATGCTAATTAACAAGAAACAGAAATAGAACTTTTTGAAAGGCTAACAACAGATACTTGACAGTTCAAAACCAGCAAGTATAATGGAAGAGGAAAGCAACTCTCCCCATTTCTGAGTTTATGATAGAGATAACAAAACTAAGCTTTACCTCCGTAGTCTTTGTTCCTCACATCCAGGTAAGAATCAGGAAGAACCCAGCGCACCTTTGGCAACTCTGGAGAGATACAGACAGAAATTAGAAGGCGGATTTTATCACAGAAATCGGCAAAATGAAAACCCAAGCAAGCGATACTACCTTTTATCTTGTGAGAAAGATCTTCTGACACAAGTGCTCCGAAAGCATAATAGCACCGAGTTGAAACCGAGTATATCTTCATCCTCGCTTCTTCTTCGCTGAAACATTCAAAAACGAGATAATATCACACAACTGCTCCCAAAATGATCGAAGTAAACATACAGATCCCGTCATATGGATTCTAGTATATCGAAAGCTAGAGCATAGTAACGGGAAAGAACCTACAGAACAATAAGAAAGTGGATTCTCTCACTTATCTAACACTAACGATTTTAGAAGAACAGGCATAAGAGACTTTTTGAATTTGGGGGTTTACCTGCCAACAATCTGGGCAAGGATTTTGATGTAGCTGTCAATGATTTCGTCTCTAGTAGGATCACCCTCAGGCGGCTCCACGACGACAAGCCAGTGCTCGAAATCGCAACCATCGAGCAGGATCGTCTCCTTTGGTGGCCTGTTCGACCAGTTGGGATTCGGATCGTTCAGAGAGGACGATGTAGCCTGCGTTGAAAGGCCTTTGACAGATACAAGGCCACCACGGACAACGGAGGAAAAAGCGGCGACGAGAGGACGGGATCGGCTCAGCAGAGACGACGAGTAAAGAGAAGACGCCGGAGATTTGGCGAGAGGAGCAGATGAAGCAAAGGATCGTGTGAACAGAATGGAAAGAGATTTCGCCGGTCGGCAAAGGATGGAGCGAGAAATGGTATGCGTCGCCATGGAAGAAACTCTCGATGGGTTTCGAAGATAAAACCCTAGCAACTGTGAAATACAGATAAGCTAGGAATGATGAAAATCAAGGGTTTTGCGAAGGTTTAATAGTAGATAATCATTCGAGGGCATTTCCGGCATTTTGTAGCCGAACAATAAGGCTGAAATCTGCGGTAATACCCCTTGATCTTATCGGATGCAACGAAATGGCCCCAACTTTTTATGAAAGTTACAAATAATGCCACTATTACAAATAATCCAGCTTTTTGTTTTTGGTAAAAGAGTTAATTTTTGCTATGAAGATTGACGAGTTGATATGATTTCACTAAATTTGGTATAGAAGATCTTTGTCAACAATGGTTACAAATTTCACGCCGAAGCTAAAACATGGGGGCAAATTGTGATTTCTAATTATTGAGGTGAACTTGGTGAAAAGGTCTACATTAGTAAAAATATCTTCCTCATGCGAGTCCTCTAGCTCTGCCAGATGTTTAAAGATTCGGCCATATATACATAAACTCAGTAGTAGAAGAACCTCGTTTATTCATTTATAATAGACAATATGTAAATTACACACACTACACTCAGCCAAAGCTCATATCACAAAGTCACTCATCATCAAAGGAGAGATAATAACTAAAGCCCTTTTATTCACGTCTCTTTTACACTTCAATCTTTGAATTTTACACAAGTGTTGCCTTGGCGAGCTGAAGCGCTTTCTCCCGCCCGTAAAACTTCTCAACAATCGCAAGTGAAAACTCCATTGCAGTCCCTGGAGCTCTGCTCGTTATGACGTTTCCGTCCACCACGACTCTATGCTCAATGTGACTCTGGTCTGAGAGTTTGTTGCTCACCCTTGGGTGGGTAGTTGCCTTCTTACCCTGTACAAAAACATGTATCTTAAGATATAACAAGAAGAGTGATATAACGTTTTCACAACTCAAAGTACTGATTTGAATTTTGTACCTTGAGTAAACCATTAGGCTCCAAGACATAAGCAGGGGATGCGCAGATTCCTCCATATGGTTTGTTTGCCTCTGCCTGTTTCTTTAACATATTCACCAGTTTCTCGCAGCTTGCGAATCTTGGAGCACCGTTAAGACCGCCCTGTGATTGATTAAAGAAGTTCGTTTTTTTTTGTTTTTTTTTGTTTTATATAAATTGCAAAACTTTCTTTGTAAATGTTCATCTATTGAAAGTTAACACTCACAGGCAACACAATCAGATCAAACGACTTCTCTGCAACTTCATCGAGAAGCACTTCTGCGACTAGCTTAGCTTTGCGAGATCCTACAACTTCCAAACTGTTACCAACTGCAGCAATCACGACATTTGCTTTTGCCCGCCTCAGGATATCTACAAGCGCAATAGCTTCAATTTCCTCCGAGTCCTCTGCAATGGGAACGAGAATCTGAAACAGGAAAACATTATCTTTCTGACTCAGGAAAAACGATCATTGATAAATAAAAAAGACAAAAACTTTACAACACAGCATGCTCCTAAGAATCCATTAGACCATCAAACAGAGACAGTCTTGGAGTATGTTAAAGGACCAAGTGGAGAGGCAAATGAACATGTATACCTGTGGGGTATCTTCGAATGACCAGTTCGTTTGGTTAAGCTCAGTGAGAGTATACTCCTCACCAGGATTAGGACGAACCAGCTGATTTCAAAAGGAGAACAAGTAAGTCTAAGAGGAGACAACAAAGCAAGTATGATCACAATAAAGAATCAGAGACAAAACATACCAAGATACTAGAGACTTCATCAGCTTTCTCTTTCCCATACAACTGCTCCACAAGGGTGAGGGAGAATTCAATGGTGGTTCCTGGTCCTCGACTAGTCACAATCCTTCCATCTATCTCAACTCTGGACTCACTAGCAGTGGCACAAGTAGCCGCAAGTTTCTCCATGAAAACCGGGTAACCTGTTGCCTGCAAGAAATCCCGTGTGATCCAGACATTAGACAAAAACTGAAAAAACAAGACATAATAAGGGTTCTTGGATATACTGATCACTTAAGACTTACTGTTTTGCCCTCTAGTAGACCCCAAGTACCAAGAGCCAACGCAGGAGCACAACAGATAGCTGCGTTAAGTCGTCCATCTGTGTCTTGTTTCTTCACCATATTCTCTAAAGGCTTACAGTTTTTAAGCGTCTCGCCACCGGGAAGCCCTCCCTTTTAGCAATCATATAATCAAAACTAATATCAGCAACCAATTCTGAAGTATTTCCGAAAACATCAAAGGAGATAAATTGCTATAGAAACATCTCAAGATTCATGCTTTATACAACCAACGCTCTTTTCAGGAACAATCAACATCACTACTGATTGCTAAAAGCATAATTGATCGATTCACTTTTCGTCTGTTCTTTGAGTGTTTTGAGATAAAAACTAACAATTCGCTCCGATCATCACCTTGATTCTCAAGTTATTGCCCATATATATTAGCAGAGAGACTTACGGGGAGCACAATAAGGTCGAAAATGGAGTCGGTAATATCAGAGAGTAGAGTATCGGCGACCATCTTGATGCCATGACAAGCATCAACGCCAACCTGATTCTCGACGGAGGCCACCGTCACGTCAGCACCACCTCGCCGCAACACGGTGATCATCGCCACCGCTTCTAGAGGCTCCGTACCATGAGCAATAGGGATCAAAACCTATATCAGAAAAAAAAGAAACTCGGATTAGCTAGCAAGAGAAACTACTAAAGAACAAAAAAAACGTTACGTACGAGGAGGAAAATAATGATCATGTACCGTCTTCGTGGATGGAGCCATAATTGCAAAAGTCTCGAGAGAAAATTTTAGAATCACGATATCGAAGAGAGAAAGTGGAATTGGAGTTTAGTGAAGAAGAAAAGGAGTGTGAGTGTATGGGGTTAAAATAGTGAGAGACTCCGTGACGACGCCATTTACGACTTTCCTTTTTATCACTTTGATCAAAGGTAGACGTGTGCGATGACGTAAGCACCGAGGAAAAGGCAGTCTTTGGAGACGTTGGCAATCACTGATTGGTAGAACGTGGTGCTGGCTTTACTTGAGTTTTACACGTCATCTTGCTTTATCCCACTTTGGATTTCGGTAAACTAAGACGGCGTTGTAGTTGCGAGAAAAAAGTTTTGGAACAACGAGATCACGTCCCGGTTCTTAAATTTTTATCATGCACGTGTTATTGTTTTGATTTCGTTTGGCAGTGTAAACCGGGATATTTTCTTGTAACATTACAATAGTTTATGTTTGGTTATGCCAATCGGAAAGAAAAATACGAACTTCCACCCTCAATAGCATCTTGTAAGAGGCGAGTTGGTGCTTTTTTGACCTGTGATCATTACTGCAAACCTGTTTGACCAAAACACAAAAAAAGGTGTTACCCGTTTACATATTTTTAATTGATTCGAAAATTTAGAAATTTTGGAAGAATTTACCAATTTCCATATCTAACATGTAAATTTAAATTTGTATTTGCAAATCTGAATGTTTTCTGACTGAAAATAGTAAAAAATTATAAATTTCTACTATTTAGTCTAAAAATTAACGGTAATAAATATCATATAACTCATAATAAAAACATGAATGATATAAGATTAAATATTATATGTTTTCTAAACATATCATAAAATATATTATTTTTGGGAGAGAACGAGTTGTGAGAAAATGTAATTTTGATGTTGTTTTGATTATAATATCGCTTCACACCATAAATGAAAATTCCAATGTTGTTTTGAAGTGGTGTTGAAACATATGTAATCAAACTAATCCTATCTGCATGCTTAAAAAATACTAAAATCTCGTTGGCATAAAAACATTATTAAAGATAAAATTACCAACAGTCTTAAGTGTTTCACCAATGAAGATGTATTAAAAGTAAAACTAGTTTCAGAAGATGTTTTTAAAAAGAGGTTGCTATAGATGTGAGATTTATGACGCAATGGTTTTCTGTGCACAAATTGTTCATTGTATGAACAACTGTAAGAATATGTTGTAAAACATAGTTGGATAAGTAGTTATAAAACGACTCAATTAATTAAGTGGTCCATCTGAACAAAAGCCTTAAATCATTATTTAGCTAATAAGATCGTCAAAATACTAAAATATAGTAATCGGATAAGCTTGATAATATCTGTTCTAGTACCACCTAAGAACACCATTGATATCTTTTCATAAAATGTCAAATTGTTTTGTGATCACTGGTATAACATTCTCTTGCTTTAAAACAACATTCTTCATTCTATATGTTTACTGTTTTTTGCAACAGGCTAGTTCTTTTCAAACAAGTATTTTTGTACGCAGTGCCATTGGTTTTTTTTTTTTATGCCAAATGAAATGATATGGTTAATTCTTTTCAAACAAGTATTATTGTAAATAGTGCCATTGTTTTTTTTTTATCAAGCTCCATTGTTAAATAATTTCTTACTATATCCACCTAGTATGTAATAACAATAACATATTATTGTATTTCCATCGAAACAGGTCGTTAAGACACGTAAAGATTCCCCGCAAAGTACAAAGCATCGACTTACCATATCTTAATTATATGTAGTAGGATCGATATAGGTTTACCTTATATTATATGGGTTGTTGCATTATGTAGAGAGAAAAATCAGATTAAACCAATTTCAGTCGGTGGTGACTGTTTTCTAAAGAAAAACAACTAAAAAGACGTTCAAATTCTGGCAGTTATATGCCAAACGTTTTCTAATTTCAATTTGTCTGCTAATTTAAGTGACGAATTCACACACACACACAAAAAATCATAGTTACCAACTAAACCAAAGTCATTAATTGATTTCTAGCTACTGATATGGTCGTCATGTAACATACTACTAGTTATTACGTATTCGAGAGCTGAAGGAACCAAACACGAAAAGTTGGGTTTTACTGAGTATTTAATTTTGTAGTTGATTGTTCTTAAGTATGTAGATAACCGCTGCTCCATTCCGTTTTCATCAATGGAGACACAATCTTAAGGTGAAAAATGAAAGATGCCTTTTTCGTAATTAAAGAAAAAAAAACAAGAAATGAAGATGCCTTTTGTTGGAAAAGAAAAAAAGAAAAAGGTAAAATAGAAAGAAAAGAGAGTCCGAGAGAATAGCCAATGGTAAGTAGACACTGTAGAAAGTGATATGGGGAAATGAGGCAGATTCATCAGAGGTGAAATCTGTTAATCAAAAATTCGTCAAATTTATCGATGGATTTTTGAGGATTTTCCACCGAATCACTATCACAGGTTTCTAAAATAACAGAAAAGCTTTTAATCAAAGAGACAAAGTCTGAAGCAAATTGTGTCTTCTGTGTCGTGTGTGAGAGAGAGAGAGAGATCAAGGAGAGAGAGTGAGTGTGAGTGCAGAGAACGTGAAATGAAATGAAAATGAAAATGCGTTTCCCACTTGCAGAAAGAGAGAGAGAGAGAGAGGATTGGGGTTGGAGTCTTTTCAGAAGATGAGGCCATTTTTCAGTGAGATTTCGCAACAACCCATATCCGATTCAAAGCATTGATCCACGAATTTTGCTGCTCTGATCCATTCTGCATGCTGGTAATCTCTTGCATTTGCCCTCTATTTGAGCTCTCGTTTTGGTGACATCTCGATTTCCTTAAATCTGCTCTACTGGTTGCTCCATCTTTTGATATGTCTAGGCTTCGGCTCTCTACTACGTTATAGATTTGGCCTTTTAGGTCTCTGGTTTTAGCTTGTTTGAATCTATCTTGTGCTTATGAACATGTCCTGTGATGAGCTTGTGTGTTATAATCTCGTCTGATTCTTTTTGTTGTTTTTCCTCTTTTTTTCCCTCTCTCTTAAATCTGAGAAATTGATGTCGATTCCCATTTCTCCTGAAGGGAATGTCTCAGACTAAAAGCAGACTATACCACAAAAAAAAGAAGAGAAAGCTTGATGCCCTTTGTTTTTATTTGTAGTTTCCTTATCTTTTGCTTTGCTATTGATTTGTCATTATTCCATTACATCATTGCAGGTATCTTTCTACCTTCCCCTTTATTTTAAGGTGAAGTGGAATATGCATTTATTTTGTAAAGATGCTTCCCAAAGCTGAGATCGACATGTTAGGAGATGATTGCTTTGAAGGGTCATATGAGGAACATCGGATATTCAGAGAAGTTTTCTTTGGAAGTGATGCCGGATATACTACTAAAAGGTGTCTTGTCACTGGAGTCATTAACTTCGAATGTGATTCCAGTAAGAATGTCAATTCCTCTCTGACTTCCAACAATGACAACTCTGTGGTAACTAGTGGATATGCATGTGTAGAAAGTCCTGAGCCATCTGCTTCAAAAGATGGTTCAGACTTTCACAAAAAAGCTAAAAGAGCAAAGCTTTCTGGTACCAAGCACCTGGATGCAAGGGATGAAAAGGGATCGCCTTTGATTGGTTTTCCAAATTCGGATTTTGCTAGAGAAGCGATACCTCTCCATTTAGTCGAATCATCTAACAAGGGTGTTTCAACTAGCTCATATTTGCTAAAGCAATGCATAGAAAAGGGAAAAGAAGTTTATCTGGGTGGCATTGTCTCAGAAAATTGCAACTTACAAAACTTGGAAAAATGTGATGGAAATGATTTGAAAGCAATTGCGTCTCCTGCTTCTCAGGAAAGCTTCGCGACCAGAGTGATCTGTGCAGGTGCATCTACGCCTCATAGTGAGAAGTCTAACTTCCCACCACAGCTGAACGACGGATCTAAAGTGGCTCCAAATGAGTTGAATTTGTCTGAAACTTGTTTGAACATTGATCCTAAAGAGGACCCCCGTCCTCTTCTCTACAAGTATGTCTGTAAGCTGCTAAGTTCTGCCGGATGGAAAGTCGAGAAGCGCCAAAGAGCAAGTAGGAAATACCTGGAAACTATATACAGATCTTCAGAGGGACGGAGATTTCGTGAATTTGGGTCAGCTTGGAGATCATTGGGTGAGATCCTATTAGCTGATCATAAATTATTGGATACAGGTGTTAAGAAATGGACCGGTATCAATGACTTTTGGTCTGATCTCTCGCTTACATTGTTGGACATTGAAGAGAACATGAAACAATTAAGTCTTGCCAACACGCGGGCACTTTGGTGGAGTGCTTTAGAGCCTTTTGTGACTGTTGTCTTCATTGATAAGAAAGTTGGTTCTTTAAGGAGAGGAAATAAAGTTGAAGTGTCTAGGAATTCAGTTTTTGACAAGTTTAATAAAGAAGATGCAGTTTGTTTGAACATGATTTCAGGCTGTCCTGAAAGTGTGCTGACAGTATCTGAGAATGCTCACCACGAGATTCACTCAGATCTTGAGGCGAAAACTAACATCTCCCGTGGAAATGATTCTTCAAGACAAGAGAAGAAGAACAGAATTGGTAAGGAAATCTCTGGGTTTGATGAGCAAGAGGTAAGCAAGGTCGTTGGAGCTTCACAATTGATAGCAGAAGGCATACATGAAAGTGTTATGAGAAAGAAGTTACATAGAAGGTCGAAAAAAATATCCGAAATCAAACCAGCTCCTATGGACCAACATGGTACACTAGATTCTAACTCACCGGGTAGTCTTGAATGCCAGGATAAAGATATGGGGAACATCCACATCATCTCAGAGGAAAATCGGGACGAAATTTTGAGGAATGATAAGATGAAGAACTCATGTGGCAACTCAAAGAAGGGAAGAAAAAAAGCTAGAAACCTCTGTAATCAGGATAATGACCTTTGGAAAACCAAAGGTAAGGGTGGTTGTGCTAGCAGATCAAGCCAGAAAAGGAAAGCCCAGAAAAAAAAAGCTAGAACGAAAAAAAGAAATAACAGGGGAGGGTGCAGGCTGCTTCCCCGAAGCACGAGCAATGTGGAAAAACAAAATTTTCAAGGCAATTGGTCTACTTTAGGTCCAAGAACTGTCTTATCATGGTTGATAGCTACCAAAGTAATCTCCAAGGACGACGTAATCCAGTTACGAGATCCAGATGATGATACTGTGGTAAAAACAGGCCTAGTAACTAAAGATGGAGTGGTCTGTACATGTTGCAACAAGACTATATCACTTTCTGAGTTCAAGAACCATGCTGGATTTAACCCGAACTGTCCATGTCTGAATCTATTCATGGGTTCAGGAAAGCCTTTCGCTTCATGTCAGATGGAAGCTTGGTATGCTGAATATAAGGCCCGAAGCAACGGATCGAGATCGGAGGAAACTTGTGATGATGATCCAAATGACGATTCTTGTGGAATTTGTGGTGATGGGGGTGAGCTGATCTGCTGTGATAATTGTCCATCTACCTTCCATCAGGCTTGCTTAGCAATGAAGGTAACGTGTGCTTGTTCAGTGTATAATTTACAAATAGTTTTTGCAATTTCAGTAAATTACCTGGCATTAGTATAACCAGATTTTCTTGCCTTGTTAGATTCTTAGTAAATTGCTACATTGTAAAGAAAATGGCTGTATTATTGTTGCTCTTTCGTTTCAGGTGCTCCCTGAAGGCAGTTGGTATTGCTCAAGCTGCACATGTTGGATATGCACAGAGTTGGTTAGTGATAATGCTCCTGCTGAACACTCTCAAGATTTTAAATGTTCCCAGTGTGCGCATAAATGTAATCACCTCTCTCGCTCGTCAACCGTTAGAAATTATTATTCATTTCTTTTTCACATGAAAGATAGCGTCTGATTATCCAAAGGAAACTCCTGGTTTGAGTTGTCTTCGATTATGACGCATTGAGATGTTGTCATGATTGATATCCCTGTTCATCAGTTAGAGTTGCCGATATTGGTTTATCTGCGAAACTCGGCTCTTCTCCAATTTTTTTTCTTTAGTAATTGATTCTTTGCAAAACCAATTATTTTGATTAGAAGTCTAGTATAGCTAATAACTGTTACTTATGTTATCAGATCATGGAATATGTCTGCAAGAGATAAGTAAACGCAGAGAACCTTTTCCAGCAACCTACTTTTGTGGTAAAGATTGCGAGAAGGTATTACTCATGCCTAGTTTCTGCGACTGATATAGTTATGTGTATTTTGAGCAACTTTGGTCCTTCCAAGTCCTTTTTAGATTTACATGGAAAATTGATGTCTTTCTTGGTGTGGCATCTTTGATATGTAAGCAGAGAAGTTGTTACAGCTACTTAGCAACTATCAAGTTTCTTAATAAGTACATGTAATGCAGGTACACGCTGGTCTCACTTCTCGTGTTGGGGTCATTAATCCTAATGCTGATGGTCTGTCTTGGACAATTTTGAAATGTTTTCAAGAAGATGGAAAGGTTCATTCTGCACGGAGGTTGGCACTGAAGGCTGAATGCAACTCGAAATTAGCTGTTGCTCTATCAATTATGGAGGAATGCTTTCAGTCTATGGTAGATTCAAGAACTGGTATTGACATGATACCTCATGTGCTATACAACTGGGGGTAACGTCCTTATGTCATTAGCTTGCACACTTTGGTTTCTGCGTTATAATTTTGTACCTTCTGTTCTGCTTTTCATATTTAACGATCTTTCTTACCTTTTTATATATTTTTGATGCACTTTAAGGTCAAACTTTGCCCGCTTAGACTTTGATGGGTTTTACACAGTGGTTGTGGAAAAGAACGATGTGGTGATCTCAGTCGCATCCATCAGGTTAGTATGAATATATTCGACTTCACAAGAAAATGTAATTTCATGGCGATCACACATGTTTGGTATGTGTTCTAGAATCCTCCAGGCAATAGATGAGGCTCCTTTGTGTATATATCATCGGAACAAACAGATATATTCTATCAATTCCGTACAGTGCAATGAGTTACATATAAATACCCATTTTACTGTCTCCAGGGTGCATGGAGCGAGTGTTGCAGAGATGCCTTTGGTAGCTACTTGCAGCAAGTATCGTCGTCAGGGGATGTGCAGAGTCCTCGTGACTGCCATTGAAGAGGTACAATATTTAGAATATGCCCACATCAATGTTCTTGAGGCTCAATCCAAATTAACAATGTCTAAACTTAAATATAACGATAGACGCACAACACCACCCATATGCTGACCCAGGTAGTTGTAGGCTAGTGGCTACTCAGTAATTCTCAGCTCATATGATCTTTCGTCCATTTCTCTCTTGATTTCCCTAATAGGGAAAACACAGACAACTTGCATTTTTTCATGCTCTGTTTTCTGCTCCGTTGATTGGTTTTGGCTGCAGATGCTTATGTCTCTCAAAGTGGAGAAGCTTGTGGTAGCTGCGTTGCCAAGTCTGGTGGAAACTTGGACTCAAGGTTTTGGCTTCAAACCAATGGATGATGAAGAACGCAATGCTTTCAAAAGATTAAACTTGATGGTGTTCCCTGGGACAATTTTACTCAAGAAAACGCTATATGAGTGCACAAAACCTAACACTGTGAAAGGTAAAGCCAACCTCTCTTTCTTTCTCTCTAGTTACAGCGTAGTTCATCGAATTCTCACTTTTACACAGACGTTTGTCTAGCTAAAGATTGTGATAACCCGTCGAACAAAGAGGCAGATCTTGAGCCAGGTCTAGACAAAGCCAGGTTTGCCATGACTACCCAACTCGAGAGCTGTGATCAGATGGTTCCAGAAGGATCAGATGATGAACCTCCCCCAGGCTTACCCGTGCCACTTGGAACCAACCAAATAGAACCAGCTTCAGAAACAGAGAACCCAGCTCGAGAGAGCAATGCTTCTGATAGGCCAAAGACAACAACGGTCACCATGGGAGAAAAAGAAGGTTATTTGCAGAAGGAACTGTCAAAGTTTTCATCAGAAGAAGAAGAAGTGAAGGAAAGAGCTTCTTCTTCCTCAGCAGCTTTAGAAGAAGAAAGGCAAGTTAGTGGTGTAGGAGTAGTAGCAGTAGTAAATAATGTTAGTGATGAGATGTTGCTTTGTCTTGATGAACAACTCAACTCTGATAGCTCTGAAGATTCGGATTAATATTAGACTAAAATAAAAACACTGACTTGACTGTATTTTCTTTCTCTTTTTTGATCCTGCTTTCGATTTACATATAGAAATGACAAGTATAACATACTTATAAAAAGAAATTCATATTTAGATAAACAAAATTAGCCAAACATTGTTGAGTGGAGTTGAAGAGAACCAAGTTAGCTTTCAGTCATGAAGGGAGACTATGATAATATGATACTAGATTAAGACATTCTCTTCCATCTCATGTGGACACAGATTCAGTTTTTTTTCTTTCTTTCTTTCTTTCTTTTTGTAAATCATCCTGGTGGAAGAACTGATTATTTTATTGAAACATAATAAACAAAATGTAATTCTAGAACTTTTCGAAACAAAACACAATCTATAAGAAGCATTAGCATGTTTTAGACAATGGATCTCATGTTCACCAAAAAAAAAAAGGCATTGGATATCATTTCTCATTCATTATTACCAGGCCAAAAACGCTTTCACCATGAATGTTGTTCGGGTTTTGTAGATGATTTCCATTGACATTAATACATTACTACCAAATTAATGACTGTTTCTTTTAAGAAATTGTAGCTGTATTCTTTAATTTGGTCAAATTACCTGCCTAACTTATGTCATCATTAATGTTCTAAAATTGTTTTATTCATAACTTTTATAATAAACATCAAAGTCCGTGCATCTTCAGAAAAGGATCCGAATCGGGCAAATCGGATCCATCTGATCCTGAGAAACACAAACTCCGTATCCCCATTAACGACCGTTATAACGTTTTCAAGCTTGAGAACTTCCGAATAAGTGGATCCGTTAGCTTGTCCGTTACAAATCATGCCATCTTCTCCCAAGCTGTTTCACGCGCGGCCATCATTCTTCACGCGCCGATCGACTGATTTGATCGTCTTCACCTCTCTTGTCTTCGGGCTCACCGGATTCCTCTTTGGACTATCCTCGATTGTTTTCCCGGGTCTCCGGTTATCCGGCTTGACCTGCCTCACGAACTCTCCTCCGAAGACGGTACGGATCGTCTGGGACGTCGCTGGGAACAGTAACGGCAATGGCGCTCGCGGCGAAATTAAGAGGCACAAGGTGATGGGATTCGTCGGAATCCAGACCGGATTCGCGTCAGCTGGCCGGAGACGAGCCCTCAGGAACACGTGGATGCCGTCCGATCCAGACGGGCTTCGACGGTACTGATTCGTCTTCTCTCAAAATCTCAAATTGATTCCTTTCTTCTTGCTTTCTCTCTGCTAGCTTTAGGGGGTTCTCTGGAATCGAATCGTCAAAATGATTGAGCTTTTGCATCATCTAAATTGGTTAGCTCTTGTATCTGATCATTGATCATAATCTAAAACCTTAAAAGATCTGGAACCAATGAAGCTGAATATAGCATTTTTTCTGAATACACTCATATGATCTTTGAGGCTGTATCTTTAATGCTTCATGATTCTTGGGACTTTTATCACTACTTCACTGAAAGCCACTGCTCTCTGCAGCTTGGAAGAATCAACAGGACTGGCCATCAGGTTTATTATAGGCAAAACCAAAAATGAGGCGAAAATGGCTGAGATTCGAAGGGAGGTCGCAGAGTACGATGACTTTATACTGCTCGATATCGAGGAGGAGTACAGTAAGCTCCCATACAAAACGTTAGTTAGAGAGTAACAGTTCTCTCTTCAAATCTTGCTTTGACAGATTACAGGAAAGACTTTAATCCATTGGTCTTTTTATATGTTTTCCTGTTTGTTGTATAGTTTGGCTTTCTTTAAAGCTGCGTACGCCCTATATGATTCAGAATTCTATGTCAAAGCTGATGATGATATATATTTGAGGCCAGGTGATTTTCATTACATTCTCTGCTTTTTGCAAATGTATCCGTGTCTTTAGGAAAGTTCTGCATTTTGATAAGAGGCTGTTATTTTTCTTCACAGACCGGTTGTCTTTACTATTGGCTAAAGAGCGGAGTCACTCGCAGACATACCTTGGATGCCTGAAAAAGGGTCCTGTTTTCACAGATCCAAAGCTCAAATGGTAAGGACAGGAAACAAGAGAACTAACAGAACAAACGAAACATGCTTCTCTTTTGAGAAATTTTGAGATGAGATCGGATTTGTGACACCTAATCGTCTATTGTGGTTCATTGTACCTAAAAATTGCTCGAAATCGGTTGGAATTTTTGCAGGTATGAACCTTTGGGAGATCTGCTCGGGAAAGAGTACTTTCTTCATGCCTATGGCCCAATATATGCTCTTTCTGCTGATGTTGTCACAAGTTTGGTTGCCCTCAAGAACAACAGGCAAGTTATGCCTCAATTTTATTCGTCTTTGGAACTCTGAAGACTCCACGAGTTATATCCTTTTTGTTTAGGGATTCCGGCTTGCCTTAGATTGCCTTCTTGAATATGTCTTTTACCTGCGACCCTTTCTGTATAACAAGGTGAGAAATTTTCCCAAACTTCAGTTTCAGGATGTTTAGCAACGAGGACGTGACAATAGGTGCGTGGATGCTAGCAATGAACGTCAACCACGAGAACCACCGCACCCTTTGTGAACCAGAGTGCTCACCGCACTCCATTGCTGTTTGGGATATCCCAAAATGCTCAGGTTCGATGATATTCACATTTTCCCCCTTCGCAGCCTCGAGGAGTATATATCCAGAGTCACTTTGCTGTCTTTGCATAAGCATTTCTACAACAGCTAATCACAGCTTGGATTGAATTGGTGCAGGTCTTTGTAACCCAGAGAAAAGGATGTTGGAACTTCACAAGCTAAAGAGCTGCTCAAAGAGCCCTACTTTGCCATCGGATGATGAATGATCTTACCTCTTATATATCTCCTTTGATGGTCAAAGATCCGAGGCGACACGTCCGCCATTGAAGTTGCTTCGAACAGATTCCGCAAGGCTTTCGGTTTTCCATTTAGCGAGGAGAGTTGATCAGTGGCTTAAGCGGCTTTAGGGTTTTAAAAAGCAGGGTTAGTAATTTTTGTGTAAACTTAGTTTTGGGTGATTCCTTCTTGTACAAGTTTAAGATTAAAGTAATTGCAATTTCGATCTCGCATTTACCACCGATGAGGAATGGAAAAACCGTACAGTGTGAATCGATCAAGTTTTATCCACCACTTTTTTTGGGTCTAAAATATGTTCTTTTCATGAACGAAGATTAATGTATTACTTGAATGTACGATCAAGGGCTTATTAACCTATATGATTCAAAAAAATTTAATATTTGACAATAGCATATAATTTGCCTTTAGTTTGTTAGAAGGACTAGAAATTCTTAGTCGATACAGTAAAACATATTTGATTCGTGGTTAGGTGCATAGACGAATAGTTTTGTTATACGTGTAGGGTCTCTATTTTCATCATATTTAAGATTGAAAAATAGCTATTAGAAAAAAATTTGAAAAAGGGTCTCTACTCTCTACACATATTTTTTTCCTCTTTAGCAAAAAAAAAAAAAATGATTTGAAAAATAGTAACTTTTTTGGGCCTGCGAAAAATGATAACTAAAATAGACGAAGTAGCCAAAAATGTGGTCTTTTACCCAACAAAAAAGTTGGAATCTTACCATCTTCGTGTAAACATGTTCAAAGTTGTCAAAACCCATAATAACACAACATGAACAAAAAACCATCCTTCACCCATTCGCTATCTTTTTCTTCAATTTTGCATCCTTCATTTCTTGTTTTTATCATCTTACGAAAAAAGGAGAGAAAAAGCGAACTTTTTCTGCTGCCTAGATTATGCATTAAGAAGAAAGAAAAATCACTAAATTATGCTACATAAAAATAACATCACTAAATGGTTGTTCTGCTGTCAAAAAGAAAATTGTGGTCGTTCTTTTGGAACATCTTCTTTAAGAACTAAGTATATTTTGAAATAAAAAAAAATGTTGTGAGAGAAAAAAATTTCTGCAGGAGCTAAAAAAATTTTAAAATAAGAATTAAAAAAACCTTTTAATCATTTCATACCTACACGTACTTTCTGCCACGCCCTCTTATCTATGTTTACCAGAGACAGTGATGATTAATCTGACGTCGTATTTAGGATTCCAACGTCATGATTTGACTAAAAGCCATCAAATTGCTTAAGGTAATTTCGAAATGTTTATGAACTTATGGGTGATTACTTCTTCAGAATAAACACCATTACAAAAAATTGATGCAGAGAATGTTTACAAACGAATAGTAACTTTAGGTCTTCAATATGTTGCTTACATACATATTAGTATTTTGGATATTTTTATTTCGTGTGATCGTTTGTATATGCCATCTCTGTTTGAATTTTGCATTTAAAAAGTTTGCAGGACTAGCATTTTATAGTTTCATCAGCATTCTCAATTTAATTATTCAATTTACATATACACACACCTTTCATCAGATGCTTTTTACTTATAGGCATATATTCTCAAAGTTATGAATCATCAAATATGCTTTTTCATCTGTTTCGAATGATGTTTATTACGTTATTTTATTAATTGTTTCAAAATAATTAGCGATGTTCATGTGAAACGCTATTGCAAAAGCAGGACTATTTTATGTCATTTCGTGTAAAAATGTTTAGATAAAATTAATATAGAGTCTATTAAAATATCATATAGTTTGACAGGGATGGAATATTATCTTAGCCAATTAAGTGCGTACTTTTTGTTAAAAGAATTAAGTGCGTACTTACCTACTCTTACTATAAAATCTAGACATATTAAATACAACCACCATTATCAAATTAGAAGTAGGTCCATGAACCTACCAACCAAGTTAATATGCATGGTCTTATATTTATCTAACAGTATAGTATTTTGCATTTATTTTACGCATCTAATAGCAGCAAATATAAAGGTTTCTACTATTCTAGTAAACACATAACACAGACAGATATGTCTGCATGCACATACGTATCTTATATATAGTATTGTGAATACTTTACTCGGAGGTTGTCTCCAAGTGTCAATAGATAAAGTGACAAATAATTACATATATTAGACCAAACCAACCATTGTGTTTCCCGGTAAATAGTCCGAGACGAGCCTCGTGATAATTAGTCAATTCTTAATAAATTAGTCGAACATTTACAATATATACATTATATGTAGAGCTAAACAGAAATGTGATTAAAAAGTTGGGAAAAAATGTGTGATAAATGGTGATTGAGGAGGTGAGGAAGTTAATAAGTTACGTTAAGTGAAGATATTACACTTCTTCTTAGCTCTTACCATTAGTAAAACAATTTCATTTTTTAATTTATATATCTAAGTGCATGCTCTTATATTGGCTGCGAATGTCCAACTAACCCCTTACTTATTGACGATTGGTTAATGATGTAGTTAATATTTTATATAGTAAGCGCTGGCTAATCTCCATCTTTCCCTCATCTAATCATCTTCTAAAGTTCCATATTTAGCTCTTTTCATATATTTGCTTCAAATGTATGTTCTTCACTTTTCACTTTCCAAAACACTGTTTGATTTACATTTACTTAATTTGAATAATCTTAATCAAATGTACACAATTGCTTTAGGAGCGTGGACGTCACTTATCACGGGGACGCGAGTGGAGTTTTAAATAGTGTTAAGTGCCAGCGTACGGAGAAAAACGAGAAAGTATTGAAAGAACGCCAAGTCAGCAGATTATTAAATAATTTTATTTTACGTTAAATATTTTTATTATTTCTTCCGATGATAAGACATTCCTTCGAAATTGATAAACAGAAGATAAAAAAATGAAACCTGTCTCGTGAAAGTGAAGCGCAGGCAGAGCCAGGCGAAGTGAGCCTATTTTTGTCAACATTTAATATTCCCGAAAAATCTTATAATAGTCTGAGCCTACAACTATGATTTATAATGAAGCTTCACATCATCAGAAATAATACTAAAAATTATGTAGTAGAGAGAGTGTTGCGTGGACATAGTCGTATCGCAATCCACGAGAAGGATTCAGTCAAGACTTTTGGATTTCAATATTAAAATAGCTTAAACCAAATCTTAAACTAGAATCGCAAAAGTTCAGATCATTGTGACATTAGTTTTCATTTGACTAGGCAAAATCTGGTGAAAATCAATGCTAAATACACAAACTCATAAAAATCGAATTTAACAATTTTTCTTTAAAATTGTATTATACTTTGAATTTTCACAAATTTTCTCATTTTAGGATGACTTCCACAACTTTGTTGCGGAAGAAAAGAGAACAGTTGTGAAAATAAATCACTTTTTTTGTCAAGTCGAGATAAATTAAAGAGAAATTTAATATTTGTTCCTTCTTTTTTTTTTTTTTGGTGTTTCACTCGATCTTCGTCTCCTTCCTCTCTTCTATTCTTCTCTGAAACTATTTTCTCTCTCTAGAAAACACAATTCACATTTATTCTTTTGCTTCACTATTTTTTACATCGCAAGATCCCATCTTTCCCTTCTCTCTCCTCTCCCGTTGATGCATTGATCAGAATATCTGATCATACTTTGCATCTTGGTCCGCCATTGACGGTCATTTAGTTTCATTCCGGAGATAAACGCTAGGGAAATTTGGGATTCAGGCGATCATTTTCGACGATCATTTTGTCATAAGTTTTTCTCGTAACCTTGCAGAGACACAATGTTGAAGACCAATAAACTCGTACCGCAACATGACACTCTCGCCGATAAGCTTCACGAATCATTGAATATGGAAAATGATAAGGAAGATACTGTTAATGTCGATCTTGGATCACCAATTACTCCGCTTCAGACTCGTCCGAGTGGACTCACCTCTAGTAGCTGCAGTTCTAGCTCCTCTGGATCCGTAACGGGTCGTGCTGCTCACTCTCCGGCTTCAAGAAAACCCGATTCCGGTCGATCAAATCCCTCCTCCGTGCAATCTTCTAAACCCACCGCTCCCTCCGCCGCTCTATCGGGGTCCGCCGCCGCTAAACCTTCCAGGTACACCGCTTCCTCCGCCGCTCATTCTTCTCCCGCCACCGCTAAATGTTTTAAGGCCACCACTTCCTCCGGCGCTCACTCGCGGCCGAGCAGTGCCTCCTCCGGCGCCAAAGCTGGGTCAGGCAGTAGCAGCCCAAAACACACGAACCCGAGACGCTCTGTTTCGTCGGAGTCAGGAAAACCATCGGGAAAAATGTCAACTTTACCGCCGCAGCAGGTCAAGATAGTTCCCGGCGGGAACCTTTTCCCGTCGGGAAAGGTACAGATCACAGGTATGACTCAAGGAATCCCGAAAAGCATGGTTCTTGGACCAGGTGCCAAATCATACGGATACGGTAGCGTAATTCGAGGAAACAGCTCCTCTCCTTCGAAGCCAACGACGACGACGTCGTTTGGTTCTTCGTCTCGTTCACTCGTAACCGCCGGTTACTTTACCGGCGGCTCAGACGCGGATACGAAAGTGGTGACGACTTGTTCGAATCCAGAGGAAGTAAAGAGAATTGGGAACGAAATGTTCAAGAAAGGTTGTTTCAGTGAGGCTTTGAGGTTTTACGATCGAGCATTAGAGCTCTCACCGACCAATGCTACTTACCATAGCAACCGAGCAGCTGCATTGTCGGGTTTGGGTCGGATTGGGGAAGCTGTGACTGAGTGTGAAGAAGCTATTAGATTGGATCCAGATTTTGCTAGAGCTCATCAACGTTTAGCCACTTTGCTTCTTAGGTAAAGCTGAATTGGTTTATAGATTCTTGATAGAGAAAAAGGATATGTAATCATTTGAGTTCTTGCAGATTAGGTCAGGTGGATAATGCCGGGAAGCACTTTTTCGCGGTGGAGGAACCATCGGATCCGGTGGTGGTGAAGTTGCTTGAACTAGTAGATAGACACTTGAGCAAATGCGCAGATGCAAGAAGACGCGGTGAATGGCATATTGTTTTGACAGAAGTAACTGCAGCCATGGTGTCTGGAGCTGATTGGTCTCCTCAGGTAAACAACAAACCTTTTTGTATTAGTATTATGATTTACAAGTATCTTACATTGTCTCAAATCTGCAGCTAACTATGTGTAAAGTGGAAGCACTACTGAAACTCTTACGGCTTGATGATGCTCAAACAGAACTAGCATTTGTCCCCAAAGTAGAACCATTCCCTGCCTCTTTCTCACATACTCGGTTTTTCGATATGATATGTGAAGCCTACACATTTTATGTCAAATCCCAAATGGAGTTGGCTCTAGGACGGTGAGATTTATAAACCTATTGATTAATTATAGGTTTATTGTGTTATGTTCATGGGGTAAAAAAAAACACTTTTTGTAGGTTTGAAAATGCAATTACAGCTGCAGAGAAAGCTTTAAAGATTGATCCAAGAAACAGTGAGATTGAGACGTTTTATAGAAATGTTAGATTGATTACTAGGGCGCGTGATCGTGGTAACGATCTTTATGAACTGGAAAGATACACTGAAGCAGGAGCAGCTTATGCAGAAGGCCTTAAGTTTGATCCATATAATGCTACTCTATTCAGTCATAGAGCAGATTGTTTCTTTAAGGTTGGGATGTGGGAGAGCTCAATCGAAGATTGTAGCCATGCATTGCTCATCCTACCGAGTTACACAAAGCCTCTTCGTCTAAGAGCTGCATCATACAGCAAGGTAAAAAACTATTATGGAATGATACAATGTTGGCTTTTTATTTGTCCTGATCTTATTTCTGTGAAAATGTAGCTGGAAAGATGGGCTGAAGCTGTGAGCGATTATGAAACTTTGAGAAAGGAGCTGTCTTATGACAAAGAAGTTGCTGAGTCTTTGTTTCATGCTCAAGTTGCATTGAAGAAATCTCGCGGAGAAGTAGTTCTAAACATGGAATTTGGAGGAGAAGTTGAAGAAATTTTTAGTCTTGAAGAGTTAAAAGCTGCATTGACCCGACCTGGTAAGTGATATTTGAACTTTGACTGTTTTTGCTTGAAGTGAGAGAACATTCCTTCATTTGCTGTATACATACTTCAATTGGCAAGCAGGAGTTTCCATTGTACTATTTATGAGAGCTTCTGATCAACATTGCAAAGATATGTCTGTTTTCATGGACGCACTCTGTATTCGTTACCCATCTCTGCACTTCCTTAAGGTAAAAAGAAAAAAACCAAACTTTAGCATCTGTCTATGCAACAAGAAGTAAGCTTACTGTGATGTTACCGTAGGTAGAAATCGAGAAATGTCCATTAGTGGGTGATGCAGAGAAAGTGAGAGTTGTACCAGCATTCAAAATCTACAAACTTGGGATTCGGATGAAGGAGATTGTGTGTCCAAGCAGGGAAGCACTGGAGAATTCAGTGAGGCACTATGGCCTTTAGCAAACTCAAGACACGTTACTACTATGTTCATATTAAAAAAAAAAAAAAAAAAAAAAGAGAGGAAAACTTGTCAATAATCTCTCAGACATAGGCGTTTAGTTTAGAGAATCACTTGTGATTTGATTTATTCATTTCTCTTGTTAGGTTTAGGAATTGAAAGAGAGATTTAGTCATGTGTATATCGAGAAAATTTTGGTTACTTAGGTGACGATGAAACCATAGAAAATAATCGGAGACAGCAGACCATTCATTCATGTTGTCAAAACAATTTTTGCCGAATGAATAAAAAATTATTTACTTATCTCTTTTCTCCAAGTAAAGTAGGTCAATAATTAGATGATGATATTGCTTGCAGCACACACAATACAAAGCCAAATGTGTCTATTCCCAACAAAATGGTTTACACCGGTTAAGAAAGCGTGATTAACACTCGCTCCTGAATACACCACTGTATTCCATAGACGTAGACGAAATACGTGCCGTGTGTTATAAACAGGAAAACAAACCGTGTCGTTTCCTCGACGGCATAGTTCAATTAAACACGCCTGCCGTTTCAGGGACCACATTCAGACTTTAGGTGACGTGCAAACTACACGTGTCATGGAAAGATATCAACAACTGTAAATTAGGTGACGTGCAAACTACACGTGTCATGGAAAGATATCAACAACTGTAAATGATTCTGGTATTGCGATACAGAGAGGAGAAACAAAAAGACAAAAAAGATAAAATTAAGATTCACTGTCTCAGTTTCTGTTTTTGTTTCCACTTCCAGAAACAGAGCAGTGTTGAGATTCATACAAATGGGAAGATTATAACTTTTAACGGTGGATACATAAAGTAAACTGTAATCCAACCGTAATAACTTATTATCTTAATCTAAAAAAAGAAAAGAGATTATTAAAAAAGGGCAGATCGAAAAAAACAAGAGATTCCAAGTGTTGTTTTGTCTCTCACTCACTCAATCACTTAACCGGTGTTTTGCAGTCCTGCGGCAATACCCTTCATTGTTAAGATGAGCGTGTCCTCAAGTCCAGGTGCGTATTCACTCGTTGGGTTAAGCTTGACGAGCTCTTGTGCTGATTTGCTTGATTGCATAAACTCCTTGGAAATGTGTGGTCGCAGAGTCACATTGTAGTTTGGATCGCGGATTCTCTTCAATGTGTAGGCTTGGCAAACATTGAGGGTTGTAATGTAAGAGTCACGCAGCCTAAGTCTCTGTTTCAAGTAAGGGTCTCCTTCAAGAAGGTCTCTGTGTCCAGCAGTCTGCAACAGAAAAGGTTTTAGTGGAACTGAAATATTTAACGAAAGATACCAAAACAGAGGACTCTGTTTTTTAATTTATACCTGGAGGACAAGGTTCTTGGTTTCTTCAAAGTTGGTTCTGAGTTTCTCTCCGAAAGCCCATAAATCCTCTGAGACAAGGAGTTTGTCATACAAAGCAGCGATCCCGGGGTCTCCCTTGGCGAACACCATTTCAATAAGATCGATGGTGACTCGGAAAAACGGCCAGTGTTTGTACATATCTTGCAGCATGTGTAGGTTCCTCACATCCTTCTTGATTGCATACCTGAACGCTGCTCCGAATCCTAACCATACAGGAAGATGGAATCTTGTTTGTGTCCATGCAAAGATCCATGGGATTGCACGGAGAGATTCGATCCCACCGCTCGGTTTTCGCTTTGATGGTCTGCTTCCGATGTTCATACGTCCATACTCCAACTCCGGAGTAGCCTGCAAACCAAACCAATGGTTAAGGTACTCAAAACACATACAAAAGCTTTGTTGATGAAACTTCGGATTGATGTGAATGGGATACTTACGAGGCGGAAGTACTCGACAAATCGAGGTTCTTGGAAAACGACAGATCGGTATTCCTCAGTTGCAACAACCGCCATTTCATCTAGCAAAGCACGCCACTCGGGTTTTGGTGAAACCGGAGGGTTCATTCCGTGCTCAAGAGTAGCAGCTGTGAAACGCTGAAGTGTCCTAAAGCATAAGTGTTCCTCTCCAAACGATTGCTCGATGACTTCACCCTGAACCGTGACTCGGAGTGAGCCATTAACTGTGTCCGGTGGCTGAGACAATATAGCAAGATGAGTGGGACCACCTCCTCTTCCGACTGTGCCACCACGGCCATGGAACATAGTCAGCTTCACTCCATATTCCTTAGCAACCTTCACAAGCGCTTCTTGAGCTTTGTATAGTTCCCAAGCAGCTGAGAGACGCCCAGCGTCTTTCCCTGAATCTGAGTAACCGATCATAACCTCTTGTTTACCGTTGATACGGTTTTTGTACCAGTCTAAAGAAAAGAGTCTTGCAACAGCAGCAGGAGCCGCTTCAAGATCAGCTAGCTTCTCAAAGAGTGGAACAACTCTTAGTGGCTTTTTCACGTGGCATTCACGCTGTAAAAGCTCAACTGCAAGCACATCACTTGGTGAAGTTGCCATAGAGATAATGTAAGCTCCAAAGCAATCTGAAGGAAGCTCTGATATGACTTTGAATGTGTCCAGGACATCAGCAATTTCTTCGGTTTTGGGAAGATCAGGTCCGAAAAGTGGACGCTTGCCGCTTAGTTCAGCTAGAAGCCATTCCTGTCGGCCTTCTTCAGACCAGTCTCTATAGGAGGAACCGATGTCCAAGTGCTTGGTGATAGCATCCAAGACATCGGTGTGGCGTTCAGACTCTTGCCTAATGTCAAGTCTCACAAGGGAGAGTCCAAAGGTAGAGACTTGTCTCAGGAAATCAAGAAGGCTTCCATCAGCTATTGGGCGGTCACCACATGAACATAGTGATCGGTAACATAGCTCAAGAGGCTCCAAGAACTGCGTAGATAGAGCAAAGAACAAATTAAATTCCATGAATATTGCGAGGGGAACAAGTTTGACGCTGCAGATTATTGAGGTTTGCTTACCTGTTCCACATTGGTGAAAGTAGCTTCTTCAGGGATGTCCGAGATTCCGTTGCTCAGCATTTGGCGAGAGCGCTCACGTGTGTGATACAGTTTATCCCTCACATCACCAAGAATCACACGATATGGCTCAGTTGGAGGAATTGTCTTCCAGAATTCTGCGTTGAGTTAAGAAAAAAAAAAACTTAAGAATGTTTCTATTTTGATCTTGCAAGAAAAAGATCTCCAAAGAAGGTTTTCTGCTTCAAACCTATGTAATGTTTTGCAGCATCTTTCCTTGAGTTCCTGTGGAGTTCATCAGCCTTGGCACGGAACTCATCAGTGCAACGCCACATAGACAACTGCCAAGAATAGAAATGAAAGAATCAAGAGAATGTTATTGCAGGAAAACAAGGAGATTTCAAAGAGAGAAAAGAAAAACCTCAAACATCAGATTCTCGATTTGGTTATAGTAGAGATTGGCAGCCATCATTCTAGCCAGCAAGCACACATCTCTAGTGACCTCAGGTGTGACCCTCGGGTTACCTGAAATTCACGTAAGTTGATTAGAAGGTGAACAAGAGGAAGCAAGAAAGATATTCTTTTTCCAATAGAGCAGAAAACGTATGTACCATCACGATCACCACCCATCCAAGACGAGAACTGAATCAATGGGGCATTGTAAGGGACACGCTCATCAATCCCAATGTTTTTCAGAGCTGTGTCCACACGGCGCAAGAACTTAGGGACACCTTTCCAGATTGTCTCGTGGAAGTAGCTCATTCCAGCTCTCATTTCATCTTGCGGCGTTGGAGGTGTTCTTCTAATCTCATCTGTGCGAAATGCAGCTTGAATCTAAAACATAACACGAGAGGTTTTAAAAAGGCAATCTTTTTCCACTATTCCTGAGGATAATATCAAACCAACATATAACTTACCTCTCTTTGAAGAGACTCATCAAGCTCCTGCTTGTCATCAGGAGTAATATCCTTTGCATACAGTTGAGCTAGACAGTCCCTTATCCTGAGACAACATTTAAGGTCAGTACACAAGTAAAAAAAAAAAGAGTTATTTCACTGTCTTGATGATGAAGTAAAAAAACTAACCTGCCATGCTTCTGAAGCAAAGATCTACGCACGGACTGAGTAGGATGAGCAGTCAAAACAAGATCCACAGTCTGATTCTTCAGGGCATCAAAGATCTCTTCAGGAGACTTACCAAGATCCGAGACGAGTCTCTTGAAAGTCTCTTCGATATCGGATTCAGTAGTAGCAGAGCTCTCATCAACGAAATCACCCTTCTTGAGCTTCTTGATCCTGCGACGGTAAGCAATCTGCACCTCCTCGGCCAAGTTGGCTAAGTTAAGCATGTGGGAGAAAGCCTTGGAGATAACAATGGAGTCACCTGGATCCAAACTCGTTAGGACGCTCCCTAGTTCCTCAAGCTTCTTAGGCTCACGGTTCCCTTCATACTCAGCAGAAAGCTCGTACAGCTCTTGGACCTGTACAGTAAAGATCATCATTTTATCATGAACCTAAACACAACTTAACAGAAAACATCCATTTCACAACTAATTGCAGATTCAGATGAATCAAAAACATTCCATCACTAATACGTCAATATTCTCTACCCAAACCATTCATCGAAACAGAGATGAGATAAAGGTTTGAACTTTTTTTGCGATCTACAGCAAATGAGTATAGATTCAATCAAAAAGGTAAATATGAAAAGTGGAAATGTTACGGTTTCACGGAGATCCTCGCCGTGTAGATCCTGGAGAATGTCGAGAAAGCGATCGAGGAGAAGAGCATCATACTCAACAAGCTTATCGTCTTCACTGACTTTAGCAGGAACCAGTTGACGAAGCTGCGCATCAATTGATGCCATCTTCTCTAAGTTCCGACCCGCCATTATCGCCGATCACAATCGATCTCTCCACTAGCCCCACGCTCTCTATAAGTTCTTCTGTAATCATCAGATCAAGAAACGTTTTAACAAAAATAATCATAATTAGATGGAAAAAGAAAATCTTTTTTTTTTTGCAAAATCTGTTAAACAGTGACATAAATCTCGCCGATGGAACCGGGAATTCGATAGACTGGCCACATAC